AGCCTTTCACGCCATTGGAATTACTCTCCTTCCGTTCAAGTGGATTTCTTCCCTTCGCACTCGTGCTGTCAGGGCGTTAGGTTTCGGGCAGGCGGGGGCTAATCCAGGTGTCAGACTTGCTTTGTTGAGCTCAGCTTACACCACTGATCCAGGTTTTTTCCAGGCTGAACGGGTTGTGCATGACTTCCGACGTTTTCTGGCGAAAGATCCATCGCAACTGCATTTCTGGAAAGCTTTCATGGATACCTACACAGGCACTCAGCTTTCTGGACCTTGCTGCAAGTTGCTGGAAATTTTCGAACAGTTAGGTTGGTATGTGCAATCACCACCTTGGATTCTGGATCATGATGGATGTCCATTTGACTTTTTGCATATGTCTTCAGGGGCTTTGCAATCAGTGCTTGAGGATGCATGGACCCAAAGGCTAGGAACAGAATTGGCTGGACGGAATGATTTTACGGGGTTGGTGGGTCTTCATTGGCCACCTAGTCGACATGAACAGCGATTGACAGCTCTGGAGAATGCATGCGTCAACTCCTTGCGGGAAGGCGCTTTTCTGACCAACCATGCCCAGAACAAGTTCGACTTGATTAAGGGGGACCTCTGCAAATTCTGCAGACAGGTTGATACCATAGAACACCGCTGTTTGGATTGTCCGGCGCTGGCAACAGCGCGACAAGGTCATGAAGAAGCACAACAGCTTTGGCATATCCTTCCTCAGTCATTGACACATCACTTGATGCCGAGCCGAAATCCGTATCATGCGGAGCGGAAGAGGGTGTTACTGCAACTGGAGGAACATGTGGGCCAATTTGAATATGTGGACACCACATTGGATGCACGTGTTGACATTTTCACTGATGGTAGCTGTGAGTACCCAGAGACACCACCACTTTCACTAGCGGCATGGGCTCTGGTGTCAGCCACACATAAACGGGTCCTCCTCAGTGGACCTTTACCTGGCTTTCATCAATCTATCAACCGTGCGGAGCTTTTTGCCATCTACATGGCAGTGCAATGGGCATGGCAGACCTGCCATCCAATCACCATTTGGACGGACAGCGCCTACGCTGCTCATGGCTTGCACTGCATTATTTCTGACCCACGGAGTTTTGAGCCTGCATCTAATGAGGATTTGTGGCAACAGATCAGCGAACTTTTGGACATGATGGACCTGGGTTACATCCAGGTACAGCACGTCAATAGTCATCTGTCCACGGAACATGCTCTGAGTCCGCTTGACGAGTGGATCGTGAAGTGGAACCAGGTTGCAGATACAAATGCCAGCCTGGCAAATCGTTCTCGACCGAGATGGTGCACGGAAGTATGCGACAGACATCGAGAAGCCTTTCTGGAGTCAGAAAGCCATGTGGACTTGTTGCGGAGTCTTCACCTCGACATCGCACTGCGCCGACAGGCTTTGTTGAAAGTACATGGAGAAGAAGAAGTGGAAGATGAAGAGGAAACCATCCTTCACACCAGAAATTGGGTCCAAATTGACGACTGGCTGGATGCGTTACCACTGGGGTGGCTGACCAAATGGCCCTCTTTGGTGGGGGCGCAGCAATTTGCCATTCCAGTTGTGAAAGCTTTGCTGGATCTGTTGATGAACGAACGTGAGAGATCTGAGGGAGCAGTTTATCTTTCATGGCTGGAAATCGCAGTCATGCTTGATGTTTTAGATTTTTCTCACCCAATTGAGATTTCTGATCATGGTCGTACAGTTTGGGCTCATCCCTCTCAGGTGTTACCAGGACACCATGGGCAAGTCACGGTTGCTGCTAGGATCAGGTTTCTCAAGAGCTTTTTCCGAGTGTTGGGTAGGGGTTTTGATTGTGATTTGGATCTTGTTTCTCAGTTGGATATTTCCCATTTTCGTGTGCACTCGCCTCAGAGTGGGATGGCCATTTTTGTATCTTCTGGAACGCTCCAGCAGATTGATGCGGCACTGCTGAGATTCACAGCTACACGACCAGTGAGATGCTGTAATGATTTGTGCAGACCCTTCTCAGCTCCGCAACCATGATCTTTAGACCAGACTCGAACCTGCGCGGCCGCACTGCCTTTGCTGTGCGCCGAGCATTGCAAGCATGTCCGATGTTGATGTGTGATGAATATGTGTACTTGCAGTGCCGCATGTGCTAACGAGATGGCAAGAGTTTGAGACTCTGTCTGTTTCGGCATGATGCTCAATGTCCTAGAGACTACTACTGGAGCCAAAGAAAATTGACAGAACAGCCGTTTCCGTGTGGAGCTGTTCCAAAGTTGGAGGACCTCAAGATCCTCAAGTGATTCGTGATCCTTCAAAAGTGGAAAGTCAATCAATGTCAATCACCACATCTAAATCAAAATATCAATTGGGAGGGAATCTCTCTTGGATCATTTTTTGCGATCTCGAGAGTTGGATATAAACATCAAACGACATCAAACCACCAAAACGTTTCGGCACCAGAGTTGGAAATGAGTTTTGGTTCCGAAACAAGTCGTGGAAGATATCTGCGACTTCAACATTCAGCTGGTAGATTTTTGGACCAAAAAAATAGGGTGCCCCGGTGCATATCCTACGGATTCCTACGCTTGATCATCGTTTTCCCCAAAAAAAATGTCATTTTGGGTGCGCCAGGTTGAGACAAAGCCACAAAACCGGGCTCCCGGGCGTTTTCTCAGCCAGCTTCAGGTAGAAGATGGGCGGTAACACGCAACACGGTACAGCCCCAGCAGTTGATGGGTGAGTTCAGATGGTGATTTCCATGGCTATGTTAAATAACCAGATGGTATAACCATCATATGGTATAGATTTAACCATAGATTTTCCAATTTAATTTGATATACATCAAATAACCAGATGGTATAGATGATGTTGATAGGAGATAGTTGACATCTATCCTATAATCCTAATCAGAAGCTTCTGAGACAAGTTGATCCACAACAAGTCAACCCTTGGTATGTAACATGAGAAACAAAATCACCTCACAGAAACACATCAGAAACTAATTGTTACCCCATTTTTGAAGTGATATCCTCCGAAGATACACGAATTTTTAGCCACATCTTCCCGATGTGGAATCGTCATGAATCATCGGAACATGGTGCTTCCGCAACATGAACATGGTTCAAACATCATCAAACATCATGAAATTTCCAAACATCGTGCAATGGGAAGCCGGGAAGCCCCACATCTGTCCCGGCGGCGGCAAGATGGTCAAGCCAGTGATGCGCACCTGGTGATCCATGGAGAAACCTATAGAATTCCACTGTTCTTGAGATGTTGAATTCTTACTGGTGCGTTTTACGTAGGGAATGGATAGGACTGGGGGTTGCTGGGATGATGATTACTAAGCACCAGTAAGAATTTCTTGAATCGTTCTGAAATCCCAAAAGGATCTGCTCAAATTAAATCCCACCAAAACGGTGACCTCCTAGTTTTGTCCCATCCATTTTCCCCTTCACCAATCCGTTCCTCCGTTGTACTCGGCTCCACCTGATCTGGGCCGTCTCGACCCAGCAGCGAGGAGCACACCTCCGCCAAGGCGAATCTTTCGTCCAACGTGGAGTCGTGTCATGCTGTGGGTTGAACTGGGATGATCGAAACAGAACTTACTGGTGCGTTTTACGATTCGGGAATTTTCGGGAATGATCCATGTCATCACTAGTCATTTCATCATCCCAGCAACCCCCAGCAACCCATCCGAACATGGGGATGTAAAATGATGTACCCTCTGGTAAACATACAAAAAACTATGGAAAGATCCACAATGTGTTTCATGGGAAAACTCACTATTTCTATGGCCATTTTCAATAGCTATGTAACAAATTACCAGAGGGTACCAACTTGTTGTGATTTGTTCAAAAAATACAAAGTAAGTGAAAAGTGATCCAACATATTGAAAACTGGGATGATCACATCATATCGGCAAGATTCAAACAGTAAGCGGGTGGGTGAAAATGATCCTGCCACTTAGGAGTCACTGCTATACGACAGGCTGTCAACCAACTTACCATGTACCAAGATCCAGGATCCTTCCATGGGCCCTGGATCTTGCAAAACCTCTGGTTTGGATTGGGCTGGAGTACCCTGTTCTATCAGCTTCTTAGGTAGTTTCTTAGGTCAAAGTGAGGTGCGACTTCAAGGCTCAAGACACATGTCTTGACCAATTTTGGTGGCAAATCTACAGCCTTTTCAGATTCACCAAAATGAAAAAGCTGAAGATATCCAACCAATGGTGAACTCCGGTCGCTGCCGGTCATCTCCAGAAATCCACAAACGGGTGCCCTGGGGTGCCCTGGGTGCCCTGGGTGCCCTGGCCCCCCAGTGGCATTTCAACTCACCACGCATTTCGCACATGTAGCCTCTAGGCTGGTGGCTGCTGGTGCTGGTGGCTGGTGGAAGGATTTCTGGCCATGGGATCGTAGTGTGTCAAAGATGGCAGCCATTTTGGGTGGAAAGAATGATGACCCAGAACCCTCATATGACTGAAACACTTTCTTGTTCGGACCAAGAAAACCAAAAGAACAAGCAGGCGGTAAAGCAACTTCTTTGCTGCAACGATGGGCCTCTGCCCCATACTCCCGATGAACTGCCAGATGCACCCCATAGCCGTTATATCCCATGGTGTTTGCTTATATCACCGTAGATGCCAAAACAACGGGATTTAGCATAGGATCTATTCATATATAGGGGCCTCATATAGGGGCTTTAACATGATTGGCCAATCATATGATTTGTACATTGATATCATGCTGTTTAACTCCATTTTGTTTTTGGTAGATCATATACCCAGTTTCCATGGTCAAACATTGGGGAAATTTCCGTTGTCATGTTTGATGAAACTAGAGGTCGTTGTCTATACGTTGAAGTTTTAGGTTGATTCATCCCAACCCCCAATCTCTGTAGTTAAGTTCTTTTTTGAAACCCCCCCAATTCCGTTGGTTAGAAATGGTTGGACCACCCATACTGAATGAGTTGCTTTACCCCGGGCCAACGTCTCGGGCTCTTTGCTTCAGCCGAAGAAGCCCATGTTGGAACGCCAGTACGGACAACCCATGGTGCGCATGCCGTTCACGTGCCACTTCATGCCTCGGCCAAATCCATTGAAGACCAGAAACATCCAGAAATATCCAAAAATGATAAGGATATATATTGTTGCCCCACCTCCTCCAAGACATTTTTGCCCAAGGTCCACACCATTTAGGAAGTTGGGTGAACCAATCTTGTTGGCATCGTGCCTTAGCCAGAAATGCCAAAAACGGAGCCAGCCACCCCGAGTCCATCCCCCCAGCCAGTCGGTGGCAGTCGAGCCGTGCCGTTTGGGTGTGGACTCTGCGGGTGACCCAGTCTAGTCCCAAGTGTCCCTGTTGGATTACCTTCCCACAAAAAAACTGCCATTAATGTGGTTAAAACAATGCCATAAACCATCCCCAAAATCACCATAAATGGGTGGTATAAACATGTATAAACCATCAAAAATTAGGGGTGGTTTATGGCATTGTTTGAACAGCCATTACCCACCAATAAAGCAATCAGATCATCTGAGCATTGCGCCAAATTCCCTGATCCGTCAAGACCTGACTAGCCAACAGTTGATGACCACAACAGTTGATGCCCAAATTTTAAACACCCCCAGAAACCATGATTTGGAGGAGAATTATATTCAATTGGGACCATACAAGGAATATTTATTGCCCGAAAATTAAAACACCCCCATACATATTTGGGACCATACAATGGGGCTGTTTAGTAGGGGGATTACGATTGGAAGTAATGTATTGGTAAAGCCATTTTAGAGAACGCTTGAAGTGTGAAACAATTATCTGTGGGGTTGGATTCAAACTTCTCATCTCGATCTCCACTTCGGCGCTGGGTTTCAGGTGGGCTTGTAGGATCCAACCACTTTTGCCACACGAAAACGTCATTTCTTGCTTTCGTCACTTTACGTTTCGGAAAAAAAGATATGGGAACGAAAAAAACTTCATTTTTTGGTGTATCATTTTTTTTACGTTTACCACAGATGAACTATATACATTTGATGATGTATCATCATTTTTCCCATATCGAAAACACCATTTGATGTTGATGGGACTCCCCCATTTTCACATCACCATCTCCGACCTGGAACTTACACGGCTGCCGCATGAGCCTAGGCCCGTTTTTCCGTCGGGGGGCCAAGGGGTGGTTCCTGGCGGTTCAAGAAATAGCTGCTAAATGGATCTAAATGTCCAAATGGACAGGGAAATCTTCAACCATTCAAACATCTTTGTAAGCACCAATTAGTTAAAATGAGTGTTTGAAAAGAATCAGATTAAAACAACTAAACCAGTTATTTGCCGTTCATATCTCCATCCAACAGCACAACATCAACCTATCCATCGTCTGCCCAGTCACTGGTGAAGAAGCTGTGCCACCAGAGGCATCTGGTGAACCTTCCAAAAATCAACGACATCCCATTCAAACTTATCACTGGTTGGTGGTTGACCTACCCCTCTGAAAAATGATGGAGTTCGTCAGTTGGGGTGATGACATTCCCAACTGAATGGAAAAATAAAGTTCATGTTCCAAACCACCAACCAGATCATATGTGGTGAATCAATCAAATCAGTGGAATATCCAAGCCATGAAATATCCATTGATGAAGTGAAATATTTCGGATATCAATTCAATGAAATCCCGAAATTCCATAAAAATTCCCGTTGATGTCTGAAAGTCCCCTATGTTTCTTGGTAAAAGCCTGATTTTGGCTGTTTAAATCCACCATTTCGCATCATTTCACCCTGTGGTTTTCTCTTTTTCCCGCACCACGTCGCTGCGTCTCCGCACCACATCGCTGGGAGGTACGTGGACCTTGCTGTCGTCGCCACATTCGATGAAGGCCACCTGCAAGGGTTGATGAGTGGCATTTTCTTCAGCAAAAACACCCAAATTTGTTTGTCGAATCACCAGTTTTTCTGGTTAAAAATCCCCGTTTTTGGGTTAAGTCACCTTTTTGCGTGGGACCACAATAGTTTCCCCTTTTCTTAGTGGATTGAATGGGGGAACCCAAAAAAAGACTCTGTTGAAATCTAGGCATTCAGAAATCCAGGTTGTAGTTCTTGTTCACCATATGTTGGATAGTTCATATGTCTTCTCTGTTTGGTCAAGACCGCAGTCAGAATTGGAATCATGAATTGGATCCATGTTCAGTGTGAAGCATCCAATTCTTTACAGCATTTGACCCTCATACCCTCTGGTAAACTAACATAACTATGGAAAATCACAATTTTTAATGGAAAAATCAACTATTTCTATGGCCATTTTCAATAGCTATTTTGACATAACCAGAGGGTAAATTCCCGTGCGAAACACTGCCGAGTTCGCTCTGCCGTGCTGCAACTGCCGTGGTGGACCTTACCGGTGTCGTTCAGCTTCACATCATTGGTGGGCGCCAAGCTACAGCAGAACCTGCGGCCCGGAATCACCAGAAACATGTCGTTAAACATGTCGAAACCCCCATGGAATCCCAATGGGCTCACATCAAAATAGCTGGGATCTATATTGGTATAGCCATGTATAGCCCAATAGTTGGATCAAAAAAACCTCTAAAAATAGCTGGGATTTATGGATTTATCCAACTCAAAATATCTAAAAATATCTAAAAATGCTAGAAAAAATTATAGGTATTGATCCATAGCCACCATTTCCCCACCATGGCAAGTGGAACATCGACCTGTTCCTTACAAGGCGCCCGTTTGGCGCAACACGCCGCTGGGTCCCTCGGTCCCGGACTCCCAGAGGTTGTTCACGTCCGCCATCTCCGCCGGCTTGATCCTGGCGCCAAAAACGCACGGCATCAATGGCAAAGAGGTCGTACTAAACAAGCCTCCAATGCTTGGGCTATAATTGTGTTATATATTTATGGCCCAAAATGTTGTTGGTCATATCGTTTTATATATTGCTCTATATTGTTATATATTGTTATATATATTGTTTTATATTTATATTGTTATCATTTGTTATCATTTGTTATCATTTGTTATCATTTGTTATCATTTGTTATCATTTGTTATCTCACCCCACATGTTGCTCAATGTATAACCCGCAAATAACCCCATCATTTGGTGAATCATCCTGACCCACCCGGGCCGCCGGGTCGCAACTGCGAAGCGCAAAAAATGCCAGGACCGCTGTTGCAGGAGGCAGGTCCTGCAGCTGAGGTTTCTGGAAGATCACTCTTCCAATGGCCTAACGTCCGCAAAGTTCATGAAAAGTTAGGACTTCAGCCATCACATTAGTTGGATTTCTTACATCTAGTTTCCGCAGTCCTTTTTTCGGTAAGACACGTCATGGCAAACCCAGGAGGTCATGCCGTTTCCAACGGCCCGCCCGGGCCACCTCTTCTCGGTCCTCATGGGGTCAAAGCCGCAGTTGTTGATCTTGCCCTTGTTCTTGTTCTGAGTGTTGATCTCACCTGGAAATTCCACTGGTCGCATTGCTCCGACACACAAGGGTGGGTAAAGCCACCTGCGGCCGATAGGTACTCGGAAGCCACGCCATTTTCCTTGGTTCCACCCATTCTGGGATACACCAGGGCCCATCCCATCCGTTGCCTTGCACGAAAGAGGGCTGGAAAGCACCAACGATGGCGAACTTCAAGCGTTCATCGTCCTGGACGACAACAACACTGGGGCGCGATGAAAAAAACGGCTGCGACTGGGTCACTGAAGGCTTCACCAACAAACATGGATTGAAGGCTTCCAAAATGCGGACGTGATCAACAAGAACTGGCATTTTGGAGCACCCCTATGAAAGGTGCCTCGGGCTGGTTTCTTGCTACAGGATTTGTGATAAATATTGATCACTCCAGTTGGATGGGTGAAACTAAATCAACAAACACAACCTGCGGCTCCACTTTGGAAAGAACAGAAATGGAAAGTTGGCACAAAATGGTGATTGAACACCAGCGAAAGATAGGACAGAATCAGAATTGGATGCAAAAAGTTGAGCACCCATAGACCCAGAAATTTTCAACCTTCCACGGGGATGACCCGGGTCATCCACGGATTCCAAACGAAAATTGGCATAGTTTTTGTCCGCTTTGACGGGCACCCATGGGCTACCACCGTGCTACCCAAACCATCCCGGTGCAACATACCCTACGGCGCTACAGGATCCCCGAATCACTTCGACCATCTCCTGAGTGAAGAGCCTTTCCACCTCTTCGTATGGCAGTTGCTGGGACCTGTCAACGTCACCAGAAAATGATGTTCGTGATTGGAAAGAAGCCTCTCACAAAAATGGCCATGTCCGATTTGCAAAGTATGGGTGGTGCTTCGGACATGAAGGATCATGAATCATGAGATTACGTTTGTGGGAAATGGACTCTCCTCAGACACTACATGGTGCGTAAGTTTGCATGATCAAACATGACTTATGGAAATTATTCACGTCTTACATCTCATCTATCCTCCCAATTCACCTCGTAAATCCCATGTTTCTTGGTTCCAGTGTAGAATAATTACCATCTGGTTATGACTAACAGTTCGCCATGGAAAGATCCACCATTTCTAATAGGTAAACCATCTATAAATGGGCCATTTTCCATGGCTATGTTAAATAACCAGATGGTATATATCCGCACTTTCATCATCCGCAAACACGTCATCTGCGGCCTCTTCAAGCCCGACAACGTCTTCAAGGCCGGATGCGCCTCACCCGAAGACAGGTGGCTCTGCGTCGATCCCAAAAGGGGAATCTGTGGGTGGAACCAAATCAACGGAAATTACTGGCGAACCCACTAGGATTCAAAGGATTGATTTAGGCCAAAAAAAATAAAAAGCAACCCAGTTGCCGACGGCAGGAAGCGGATTGGGTTTAACTCACAGAAATTGGAAATGAAACCAGCAGTCATGAGGATCAGCGGATTGGTTTCAGGGCGGAAATGATTTACAACAAACTTGTACGAGAAACTATGTGGATTATTTGGGGACTTTTACTCTCATTGGATTGATTTAAGGGACGTCTTACAGAAAACCCTGGCTTTCACCATCCAGCTGCGAAGGGGTCTCCAGTGATGCTGGTTATGTTCTCGGAACCCAACTATATGTTCTTGGCATCCGTGTCTTATTTGTGTCCCATTTCGGGTGGGCCCAAGCTACATAAGAATATGGTTTTTTGAGATGTGTCTTTAAAATAGATGCAGAAATCGAAAAGTGAAGACCATCTATTATATACATCTAAAAACGGATCTAACTGGGGTATGCCTGTATCCCCCTAATTTATGGCCACTTTAATGGGGAAATGGATTCTTTCAACCAAAATTAGTTCAAACGGGGATCATGTAAGGCCAAATTGTCCAAAACCAATCAATGACTGGTTGGTGGTTTCAACCCCTCTGAAAAATAGTCAGTTGGGGTGACTATTCCCAATACATGGAAAGTCATAATCCATTCCATGGTTCCTGGCACCACCAAGCAGATCATCATTGATACTATCATCATCCCATCATCATCTCATCATCATCTCATCATTGATATCATTAAGATCATTAGTATCATATATCACATCCACCAATCAGTTAGTAATGATCCAGACTATTGGGAAAGTCATAAATTTATGTTCCTGGCACCACCTGGCGCAGATGATGATACCCTCCACTACTCAGTGGCACTTTGGACAGCCAGAAACCTCCATGGCTTGGCACCTTGGCGCTGGGTACGGCCTGCCCCAACTTGGCAGCCAACTCCACCACGAGCGCAGCGAACTGACTCATGCCTGGCACTGCAGGGATGAATGGGGGAACATCATGGGGTGCTAAGATGTTGATGTAAGATGTAAGGGAGAAAGATGGGGGAACATTGGAACATCAGGGGAATTGAGATTGCTAACATTTTGGGCTGGCTATATTAGATGAACTACATGCGTATATATTCCAGTATAAGTATAACTTGCAAAAACTGGGGGCTATGATTTAGCAGAGTGTTTGTCTGGTTCGGGACAACAGAAATATGGATTTCATCTGGTAGTTGATAACCAGGTTCACTCACAAAATATTAAGGATGCCTAATCATAAAACAATAGGGATATCACCAACACATTTCATGACAAACCAATAGAAAGTGTGGATTTTCTCTAGGAAAACTCTTCGTTGATGATTGGGATCACTGAAAAACAATGGGATGGTCCAACAATTGTGGACATTGCAAAAATGAATTATGACTCACCTACAAGACATACCCTCATCGGCGATCGCCAACCCAAAGCAGCGCTGAACAGGATTTCCCAAAAAAATCTTCAATTTCTTCAAACAAATCTCCAGAAGTTCTTCAAAAGAAAGAACTCCAAGTTCTCCACATCTTCCCAGGCCATCAGGCCCCTCAGTGAACAATGCCAGCGCGACGGCTCACAGAGACGCAACAGTCGTCCAACCATTGGTGATACTGCCGCACCTCAGATGACACGCAAAATGCACTGGATCTTCAGCATCCACAGAATCCGGCTGAGGCCTGGACCTGATTTTTAGGCACCTGCAGATACTCTTTGTACAAATTGCGATACCTGCGCGGCCGGAACTCCGAAATCAGAATGCGAAATCTGGAAGTGACAGCCACACCAACAGCAAAACCCCAAGTATTTTAATCGATCTAATGATCTGTTGTTTGCATATTGTTTCTTCATTTATTTGAATATTGTGAGATTTCTTCATGACATTAATGATCATATTTTAATCGATTTATGCATATTTAATCTCATACATTGTTTCTTCATGACATCTCCATTTGTCTGTGAGATCTCTCTCCATCGTTGCTGGCCATGGGCACATGATGGGCTCTGAAAATTGGCCGCCATCAAAGCGCGCGCGGGTGATGTAGTTGTGGGCCAGGTGACGGGGAAAGTCCTCCCACAACGAACGGTGACATGGCTGACATGGTTTGTTTCGCGTTTATGGAACCACTTGTTCCATTGGTTTACGGGAACTCTTAGAATTTGGAGGTGATTCCAGGTCTCTCACATTGTTTTTCCCTTACATCGATCCATTGAATTGTCGAATCAACTCTGACCCAATACTCAACAGATTCGTGCAAGTTCCAAGCCTCCAGGTTCCGACAGTTGGCCGGTGCCGCCATCTTGAACACGTCCTGGCACTGGCACCACTCAGCTACCAGCGAGTTTTCGGTGGGCGAAAGGTCCTGGCTTCAGAATAAAAATCCATGAGCACCTCTCCAAGACTGAGATCATTAGAATTATCATCATTCTACCAATGATAAAGACTTACTGTACTGTATATTGAAAGAAAAGACCTGAACAAGTCCCCAAGGATTCCTCCCCCACCAGGGCAAAAAAAAAAAACACATTCCAACCATTCCCACCCCACCTGGGTGCTGAGTGCCGCTGCGATCACGATGCCATCTGCAGGAATTCCCAGGGCCCAGCTCAGCACCACCAATTTAGTGAGTTGGATCCTCGGTGGACAAAACGATGCGGAAAGCCATGGGTTCCCGTTCGGAAAATGGTCTACAAACGCTGGGTTTTCCATGTCTATGGTAGTTAACTGAGGGTATCAACATGCTGTGTTGCTGTGTTGCCACAAGCTGCTGGTGCTGAATTAGTCTTGTTCTACACGACATCATGGTAACTATTGGTTTTTGGCAAGGGTCTTGGGTATGGGTAGAGAAACCATCCATTGGATATGGTGAAGCTTGTTGAAACCCTAAATGTTGCTGGCGAAACTTCCATTTTTTGTGGGTTTTTTGTGGCCGAAAAGTTGGTTTCCAGTGGTTTGGAAGCACCCCAAATTCTGCCCCTTCAACCGCGGTCCCCTGGGTGTCTCCAACGTGGTGGGCATAAAGACGGCGATACGGCCCAGGGATGCAACCTGGATTCAGCACCGACTATTTCTATCTGAACAGAAAGAATAAGTTTCTTATGAAAGGAACAGATGGAACAGTAAGTAAGAAACAGTTTGTCTAATGGAAAAGTGATAGCTTCAGCAAGGAATATGGGATTTTTTGCCAGCAAAAAAGGGTCGTATTGTCAACCACCAGAAAGAAGGAGAATGTTTCCAAACAAGTCTCGTTTCGAGTCATCAGAAAAAAAAAAAAAACCTCAAGTCCCCTTCTGATCAGCACCTTCTCTCCCTTCAAAGCACCTCAGATCGAGATCACATCACCAGATCCAGTTGAAATCCATGGATATGCCAAGCCCAGCACCCAGGTCCCGTAGGTTTTGCGCAGCTGCAGAGATGCGCGTTTGTGGCCTGCGAAACCAACCCAAGGACTGGAGACCTGAATTGTCCACTGATAATCTAGAAATTTCGGACTATGTTTATGGAAAATTATGGGCCATTTCTGTTGAATACACGTTTTAATGTGGAGAATCTCTATTTGAAACACGCATGAAAAGCATAGAATTCAAGTGCCGAGTTTGATAGGAAAAGCATCAAACTCGGGGAGGTCATTTTGCAGTTCCACGGTTGTTTCATCAATGAAAATTACCATAGAATCGATCAAAATGGAGAGTTTTCTTTGTTCCAGTGGGATTGAAAAGCGATGGCCTGGTTCACCCAAAATTTACCATTTATATTCTGTTGTTTTCATATTTGTCCTATTGAAAGTCAGGATTTGCCCTTGCTATGCGCCTATTCGCTAAAGGACAACACGTCAGAACTGAGGGCCCCAACGGCGAATCGATCAACTGCCCCAGGAGTTTCTCTGGAGGTCCCAAGTGGTGCAACAGCACGCGACCTAAACAGGTCGGAACGTCTCGGCCCCGCAGATGTAAGATGAAGGCGAAATCTATAGGAAACCCATCGTTTTTTTTGGGGGGGTGCATATTTTTCCTCTCGTCCACATCTCGGAATGAAAAGAAGTGTGCTTTTGGAAGTCCTTTATGATTTAGGATCCAGTTGGAAATCAATTGTTGCTTGTTATTGTTTGGAGCAGAGAGATTCATCCAACAGGATTGTTTTATGCATTTCCATGCCTTTTCCAAAAAGTGGATTTCCCCAATTTCCATCCAATTGGGAACCCCATAGTCCACCACTTGCCACTGTCAAGCTCGCTACTCTTGAGATAGATCGACTCCAATGGCACTCCCAGCACCTGCGCGGAGTAGAATGAGGTCAAACAAGATGACAATGGTTGAAACAAAATCCGCCCGCACCGAAGGTGCTGGGGCGTGATCGTCCGGATGGCACTCGTAAAAGGTTACAGGTTTACCTGGGGGGGGGCATTTTTCGGCCAAAACCTCCTGTTTTTGATAGGTCGTGACGCTCGCCTTCAAAAAACACTGTAAAAAACAGTACGGAAGACACCTGTTCGTGAACGCGCCCGTCCAAAATCGGCAAGCGAAAAGTGAAAAAAAACCGTGTTTTTCAACTTTTTGACCTCAATTTTTTGGTTTGCAACATCTTTTTTTTGCGGTTCCGCAGGTGGCCTGGCCCGGAGGCGGATTTTTGAGTTTTTGGACCCGTTTTCGGACTGATTTTCGTCGTTTTGTGATAGCAGAAACACTAGTTTTTACAGTGTTTTTCTGTTTTCTGCATGCTTGACGGCTAGCTTCAAAACTTCCAAAAACCTCGTAAATTACGCTGTTTTATGTTACGGTGTGAATGAAAACATCGTAAATACCAGTGTTTTTTGACGTTGGTTAAAAAAACACTGTAAATTACAGTGTTTTTGGCCACCTGACCCTCAAAAACCATGGTATTTGCAGTGGTTTCTGCTTCTCACCGCGCAAAAACACTGTAAATAACAGCAATTTCGCCGTTTTTTCATGTTTTTCGTTATTTTTTGAACTGCGTTGGTCCGCTATACATGGCTATCAAATTCTTCGCGTTTTTTTTTCCGACAATCAGTACTTTCGGATGTTTTTGGTCTCAATGGCCGACATCATTGGCAGTTACGAGCGGTCGCGAAGGTGTGAGAACAACATCGTTCAAACCGTGGCGGCCGCACAGGGGTTCTTGTCGCGGAGCGACGGCAATAGAAGAGAACAATGGCAGTAGAAGAGAACAATGGCTGACATCATTAACAGTGTGGACCGTTCACTCGATATGTACATATATGAGCCCAACGATGCGGTGCGGGCGGTTGCCGTCGCGAAGCGACGTGAATATGAACTGTGTGACCTTCGATACTGAAAATGAAATATCAGAATATCACTAAAAAACATGTGAAAATGATTTGTAATCCCTCTCAAAACATGTCACGAAATTCATATCGTTCCATTTCTGTCTACGACGTCTTGGGAAAACACACACATTGTCCGCCCGCCTCTGGCGAGGCGTACGGCTGCAAGCGTTCGTAGTGGCTTCTGGGGAACAGGTAGATGATGACCTTGAAAAAGCAGCGTCATTACCTGGTGAATCATTGGGTAATGACACGATATCGATACATAAATGGTATTACCTTTGGCAGCGGCTAGTTAATGTATACATATGGCTACATTTATAGTGAAACAATCATTTAAATGGTAAATAAATGGCTAAATGATTGGTAAAAATAGGTAAATCATTGGTAACAATCCGTGGGTAAATCCTTGGTAAAGATGGAAATTTTCATGGTTCAATGGTTAACCCCATTAACCCCCCTTTTGTAGGTCATGTCTTTGGAGGATTCGGCAATGTTATTTTAATCAATCTGTCAAACTTCATCTTGCAGGGCATCCTCCCGTAAAGCATGGCTACCTGAGTAATCCTTTGTTGAAATAGTAGAATTACTTTACTTCGTGTGATCCCCACCATGACATTTATACATTTTCTTACTGGCAAATCTTCTGGCATTCTATCTGACATATCTTCTGACATTCTATTTGGCATTCTATCTAGCATATCTTCTGGCATTCTATCTTCTGGCATTCTATCTGGCAAATCTTCAAGCAAACAAAAACACGCAAGAAGACATTACTGATCACACAACCTCCTCCTGCTGAATTCTTCTATGATGATGTCCATCCGGCCTCTGGCCCGCGATCGAGTAGATGAGGGCTCAAATGCTCCAACCAATGTTCCGATGTCACATATCCACCATGCCACCATAGCTGTGATACACAACAGAAACCCTATGTGATGTTGACTCTCTCAAGCATCAATCCAGCATGAGATCACTTCAAGTAATTTGTAGTAACTTGCTGTAAGATGTTGCCGTCTCAAGAGTCTTTGCAAACAGCTCCAAAGGTACAGAAATGCAAATGTCTCTGTCCACCCCAGTGACTCTGTCATCTGTTCCAACTGATTGCTTCAAATTTTGCCACCTGCAAAGTAAGAAGTGGCATTGCCCCGGGCACTCTACCACACACGCGCGAATTTGCAAATTACTTTACTTCGTGTGATCCCCACCATGACATTTATACATTTTCTTACTGGCAAATCTTCTGGCATTCTATCTGACATATCTTCTGACATTCTATTTGGCATTCTATCTAGCATATCTTCTGGCATTCTATCTTCTGGCATTCTATCTGGCAAATCTTCAAGCAAACAAAAACACGCAAGAAGACATTACTGATCACACAACCTCCTCCTGCTGAATTCTTCTATGATGATGTCCATCCGGCCTCTGGCCCGCGATCGAGTAGATGAGGGCTCAAATGCTCCAACCAATGTTCCGATGTCACATATCCACCATGCCACCATAGCTGTGATACACAACAGAAACCCTATGTGATGTTGACTCTCTCAAGCATCAATCCAGCATGAGATCACTTCAAGTAATTAGTAACTTGCTGTAAGATGTTGCCTGTCTCAAGCGTCTTTGCAAACAGCTCCAAAGGTACAGAAATGCAAATGTCTCTGTCCACCCCAGTGACTCTGTCATCTGTTCCAACTGATTGCTTCAAATTTTGCCACCTGCAAAGTAAGAAATGGCATTGCCCCGGGCACTCTACCACACACGCGCGAATTTGCAAATAATATATAACATATTTGTCTGACATTCTTTCTAACTTTCTTCTGCACATTCTTTGTCCCATATCTTCCTACATGAGGTCCGGCAGGGAACACTTGGCATGGATCCTCGCGGTTGAGGTCCGGCAGGGAACACTGGGCGTGGATGGTCGTTGGTCAGGTCCGGCAGGGACACTGGGCCCGGATACTCGCGGTTGAGGTCCGGCAGGGAACACTGGGCGTGGATGGTCGTGGTTGAGGTCCGGGAGGGCACACTGGGCGTGGATGGTCGTGGTTGAGGTCCGACAGAGAACACTGTGGATCGCGGGTCGCAGTTGGACGAGGAGGACGACGAGGAGGACGACGAGGAGGACGACGAGGAGGAGAGGAGATGAGGAGAGGAGAGGAGAGGAGAGGAGAGGAGGAGCAGGCAACTGACATAAAATCTAACAACCCTCACCTGGCAGGTGGGGAATAATATATAACATATTTGTCTGACATTCTTTCTAACTTTCTTCTGCGCATTCTTTGTCCCATATCTTCCTACATGAGGTCCGGCAGGGAACACTTGGCATGGATCCTCGCGGTTGAGGTCCGGCAGGAAACACTGGGCGTGGATGGTCGTTGGTCAGGTCCGGCAGGGAACACTGGGCCCGGATACTCGCGGTTGAGGTCCGGCAGGGAACACTGGGCGTGGATGGTCGTGGTTGAGGTCCGGCAGGGCACACTGGGCGTGGATTGTCGTGGTTGAGGTCCGACAGAGAACACTGTGGATCGCGGGTCGCAGTTGGACGAGGAGGACGACGAGGAGGACGACGAGGAGGAGGAGAGGAGATGAGGAGAGGAGAGGAGAGGAGGAGCAGGCAACTGACATAAAATCTAACAACCCTCACCTGGCAGGTGGGGAAAAAGAATGAAAAAGATCCATGCAATATCATACATTGGCAATATCTCTGTTCGTTGCTTGTGTTTTCAGGTTGTACGTGGATGTTCTATGTCCAGGCTTTGAAAATTGGCTGCCCTGAGTGTCCCAACACCCTCCTGCAAGCGTCCACAACGTCCACGCCCTGCCACAGAGACAGAACTAGGCTTTGATGGTGGCACCAACAGCTGGAACCCCAGCAAAAACTAGCAAAAATATTGCTTTGGAAGACGATGTTGATGTTCCCACTCATTTTGTTGGATGTGCTTCCATTTACCAATTGTGTCCCAGTTATCATCAGTTTGCTGGTCCCTAAGCACCAATCGAATGGACAAACTCATGATATATATATATATATTATATATATATATTATATATATTATATATATTATATATATATATTATTATATATATATATTTATATTATATATATATATATTATATATATATATTATATATTATATTATATATATATTATATATTATATATATAATTATATATATATATCTTATCCTACTATATCCTGGAATATCTCCGTAGAATGGCTGGTCTCCACCTTCCCCGGAGTGCTGAGCTAAGACTGGCCAGCCGCACGCTGTCGGCAGGTGGCTTGGGAGCTCCAAGTGTTGCAAAGACTCCTGTCATGGACAGGGCCAGGTGTTGGTGCGCAGAAACCAATGATTTCTGGGGTAAGGTTAAACACCGGACTGATGACTCAAAAATCTTCCTAATCCTAATGTCTTATGGCTAAATCTCCATGTTTCCTCGGGGTCACCGCCCTGCTACCGGCATCTCGTGCTCCGAATCACCACGCCGGGCACACTGCATGGCTCGCTCTTCATCGAAGACCATCTTCCGGACGATGCCAAAATCCAACACATAGCGGACCTGTGGTGCAACGCTGTGCAACGCGCTGTGGTGTCTGGTCATCTCGGATCAATCCTGAGGCTCCGACATCTGGAATGGTGATGGATGACCTATGGCGCTTCAAGCAGTTGGTGGGATATGATATGTGGTAAAACCATGTAAAACCCATCTCAGCCCAAAAAAGCTGAGATGTTGACTTTGTGATCATGGTTTTTTCCAGCTCACTTCCCAGCTGATGCTTCAAGACCCCAGGAAAACCAGAGTGGTCTCAAATATCACAGGAACACTCTTGAGATCTTAAAAGGCACAAATTTTTAACAAATCATCAGATCCTTCAACATCAACCATCCACCACACCAAGCAGCTGGACCTTAAGCCCCAATGGTGTGGTTGATGATGGTTGATGATGGTTGATGATGCCACCTTAAGGTCACTATCCGGCTGCTTGGCAGATCTGGGGTGGGTCCCACTCCGGGTCCCCGAACTCCGCGATGTTCGTGGAGAGAACCACCTTGCAATGCCCTGCCTGGGTCCAGCTACCCGGCCTGGTAAACATACAAAAAGCGAACTGGAAAATGGCCATAGAAATCGTGATTCTAGTGGATTCACCCATGAAACATGGTGATTTATCCATAGTAAACTGTCAACGTTTACCAGATAGCTAAACATGTTCAGCTGTCGGGTATTCACTGGGCAGTTTCATCTGAGAAACAGGACTTTGAGGGCCTGAGGGAATGCCAAAGTCATCTATTATAGTCTATACCCTTACTCATGTGGAACTCAAAAAAATGGCTCAGTAGAATCATATTCTTGCATGTTGCCAGTGCGGCTTTCGATTCGTTTGTGCGACTTGGCCATCGCACGGGTGGTGGAAGTAGGGCTCGCTTCTGTTGCTCATGGGGCACCACCGAGTGCAACATGTGGTAATCCTGGCATCGAATTTCCTTCAAGACATGAGGCACCCAGAAATTGTATGGTTTCTTCATAAAACAGAGGTTTCCTCCTTGTCCTTCGTGAATCAAAATCCATCTGTTTGTTGCTGGAATCCTCTCATTTTTTGTTAGTTGATTACACATCCCCAAATACCCTCTGGTAATTTAACATAGCTATTGAAAATGGCCATAGAAATAGTGGATTTTCCCATTAAAAATGGTGATTTTCCATAGCTACGTTAAATTACCAGAGGGTATCCCCCAACTTTCCCATTTTTTCAACCGCTTCAACATACCGCCATCACCATCAGATCATCAAGTCCCCATGGGTCACACAGGTCGGCAGCGCCAATGGACAGCGACCCTTGCGACTGTAGAAGGCTTCGTGCAGCTGCTCGATCTCCGACAAGCCAGGCCTTGGCTCTCGGATTTGATTTCCCGGCCTGGTAAACCTACAAACATAGGGAACATCGGAAACCCATAGGAAAACCATAGGAAAATGGTGATTGAATGGGTTTTAATGGGATTTAATGGTGATTTAATGATATTTAATGGAGATACCCTCTGGTAAACCTACAAAAAGCTATTGGAAATGTCCATAGAAATAGTGGATGTTCCCATGAATAGCATGGTGATGTTCCATAGTTTTTTGTATGTCTACCAGGCCGGGTATATTGGTTTATGGTTTTGGCTCAAACATCGGCCAATATACCCACAATTTTGATCATGATCATGTTAGCAGCGAACCAGTAGAGTTCCAGACTGGCCAAGAATTTTGAGCCAAAGCCATATAAGTTGAAATCCTTGAGACCCGGGCAGGAAAATCAGCACGCAAAGTCCCGGCTTGGCGACGGCCTGCGGCCGGCGATGCCGCTAGGCTGGTTGGTGGATGGTCTCGAGTCGGTGGTTGGATATGATCAGTGGTGAAATAAAGCAAAAATCGATGAAATTCATTGATTGTGGGTAGAATTCGGAATTCTATTGAAAAGAAATGTTTTTGCTGCATGCATGTTTCCCCAATAAAGAGTAATGTATCGATGTGTTTTACCCTTGAAAGTATTCTTGCATATCAATCATGTGTTCGTTGGCCGAGGATGGGTCAAGCTACTGGTAATGTAAAATCATCCTAGAATCCCACTGGCGAACTTTGAAGGCGATTGGTAAAATACCCATCCAGAAAATCATCTCCTTGGTATCCAGACCATTTTTCGTTTAACCATATTTCAACGAGGTGTCAACCATGTTTCTTTACAACTATTACCATGTTTAAGCCCAGGTTTCAATCATATGTTTACATATCTTTACGTGGTTTTCCCGTGTTTAAACCATATTTCAACCAGGGTTTCCCATGTTTAAACCAAGGTTTTCCCCATCTTCTCCAGACAAAAATCACCGAAAAATCAGCACAGCACCATGGCCTCCACCACCTGCACGCAGGTCTCGAAGAGCTGTGGATTCACCTCCACGCGGCCGCCCTTCTCGAACCTTCCGACGGAGTCGTCCCGGGAGAAAAACTGCTGGAATGTCGCATTCGATGGGATGATGGGATGAATGATTTTTTGGGGAATATGCTTTTTGGGGAATATGATTATACTACAGGGAAGATATATACAAAATATGACAACATGTTGGAACCCGAAAATCCGTCGGGATAGTATAGATCTTTTTCCCCAATTCAGATGGCTGTTTTAAAAAAAGAAGCAACTGAAAGAAATGCTGGCCGGAAAAAAGGATCATCATCATCATCATCATGATTTTAATGATCTATCCACTTTCTTGCAGGATTCTTTGGTGAAATGCCCTCTTCCTCCAAGGATGTTCCAGGCAACTTCCAGGCGCCCGCACCGATCCATACGCACCCGCGGTGCAACGCCCTGCAGGGCCCCGTTCATCAGGTCGTCCAGGTAGTAGGGATACCTCCGAGGAATTATCTTCATGGATTTTTTGAAACCTTTCATGGTGACCATGATTGATCTTGCGTATTCCTTCTGAAAAGAATGACAAGAAATGAACAAGAAGGAATATGATGATCCTTCGAAAATGATGGCCATTATGTTAGATCTGTGTCTACTTCATAGTGGCCATCATTTTCGATCTTGTGTTTTCTTTGTAAACAATGTACAAAATAATGTCGGTTTCATGCCGAGCAAATCAGCAAATAAGTAGTGATATTGTGAACGAAAGTGCCTACTATCATTATCCGCTACTATTATCATTCAATCATCACGTGTAGTTATCTATATTACAAGTTTCTTTACTTCTATCATTTTAACTAGTAGCAATATTATGTCTATATATAATATGTTATATATTGTTATACTATACTACTAATAGACATCCTGAAATGATATTCATTGATATATCAAAAAAAAACTATGTCCACAAAAATTATGTTACATTCAATTTGATATGTCATAGCTTTGATATATCAAATATCAAAGTAAAGCCATAGAGTCGTGCCAGATCTCCACCGTTCCCCCGTTCCCCGGTCTTCGGTCACGTGGGGAAGCGTCGCGAGCCCACCACAATGGGCTGACGCCCGATGTTCACGCCCGGAGCCTGGAAGTAGTCCAAAAACCTCGGGTGTTGAACGCTGAGAAAACGCGGAAAATGCGCAGAGAGATGCCCCAGTTTCGCATGATCCATTCTTCAGAGTGCAGGCTGGTGATAACAACAGAAAATGAACAATTTGAGTCAAACAAAATATAGAGCTGGAAGATGTGGAAGTCCGTCTCTTGGTATACGAATGGGATACAACCTAATGGTTTTTTATTCGGAGGTTTCATACTCAGCAGTCAGAGCTCTATGCCCAGCTGAAGTTTGTCGTCTGTGGTAACCATCCAAATCGCAAATACATCCGCAGTGAACTGGGCAATCAAAACCTATAGTCTTCGTCCACTAGCTGAATCTAAACTTAGGATCCACATCATCATCCCTATTTTTCTACTACGTTCATCAATCCATTGGCTTGATCTATTGACTATTTTGGGAATCTATTGATCAACTCTAGACTTGAGACCCATGGCATCCCTGGTTTCTCAGCACCCCATTTTCGTTCGTCCCTGCACGGTCCGACCGATGGTCAGACTGTCGGTCCCCACCGACCGTTGACGACGACGACTAATCAATGTCACAGCTCAGATCTTCCCGGACTTGTGCCGACCAAATAATCGCGTTTGAGCTCAAACTCACCTAAAGGTGAAAGCGAAAAGAACACCACAATTCTGGGGGTTTTCCAAACCAATTGGGTTTTGGGCAGGGTTTTTGGCAAGAAGAAGTGTTGGAGATCGTGTGGAAACTTCAAGCAATGCCATGTCGGGAGAATTTTGGGATGGTTTGCCTTTCCAGAAACAGCTGAAGCTGCCAAGCCCCACAATATGAGTCCTTCGCGGCATCACCGAAGTTGAGCTAAGGCTGCAGCTCATCTTGCTGATCCACTTCAACTGCCATGGGGAGATGACCACAACCCCAGGTAAACCCCAAGCAAAGCCCCAGTACTTAACATCTTCACCCTTATCAAAGTATAATGGCTATGAATGTAAATACACTATGAAGATAGTGTACGCATTTCAAATATGTACGTATTCTATATGTTATAGGTAGTCTATACTATTAGCTTTCATAGGAAGATGTACCACCAGATACCAGTGGTAATGTACCCTCTGGTAAACAAACATAGCTATTGAAAAATATTGAAAATAGCAATTTATAGTTGATTTTCCCATTGAAAATTGTGATTTTCCATAGTTTTTCGTATGTTTACCAGAGGGTATCTTGCAGCTGGGCCTTGAACTTCACGTCCACCTTTGCAGGGCCTCCCACACGCACAGCGGCTCGTTCGATCAGTGCACAGATCACGATGCGCTGCGGCTCGTGGAAGTTGTCCTGAAAAAAACGGCAACGGAGGGGATCAACGAAATCAACGAAAAACTCTGGGACCTGCAAAATATATCGAAAACATTGGGAAACATTGGGTAATGATGGAAAATGAAAATATATATCTCTTTGTGAATTTCTATAGCCAAAATCAGACCCGCAAGAATTGGGCAAGCCTGCTTAACCGCTGGCACAGACCTGTCATGTTTGGGATTGAGAACCAAGCCATACCCGGCCTGGTAAACGTTTACAGTTTGCTATGGAAAACCAGCATTTTTAATGGGTAAATCATCTATTTCTAAGGCCATTTTCCATAGCTAACTGTTAGTTTACCAGAGGGTAATCCCTATCAAAATAAAGTATGTCAGCTTTTGGGATTTTAGTAAATACTTTAGGGGCATCCCTACGGTAGCCGTTTTCAAACACTGTATATCTGTATATCTGTTTTATAAACCGCACTGCCGCACGGCAGGGTTTCACAGCCACAGCCCACCACAGGTAGTGTCCGTCAGCTCTTTAGGCATCTTCTCAAAGACACGCCAGGCGCCTCAGCTGAACTGAAGAGGTTTTGGGTGGAGAATTTTTTGGGTGGAAAATTCTCCCAGCAATAAACAAATGGAATGTATCCTGATCTATTGATAATGTTTCTACTCGAAAAACTCAGAGTTTTGCGGTGCCATGGTTTTTTACCCTAAGGGCATGTCTTGAGTGATTCTTGCTGATGTATCATTTTGTGAGTTGGTAAACACTGGAATATCTGGATATGTACAGTACTTACACATGATCTTGAGCCAAGTTTGGAGTTTGTAGACTGCCAACTAGTCGACACAATTTCAACAGCCAAGGAGTGGTTTTTCATTGTGATGTTCGAAACCTGCGTCTGGAGACAATCATGGATAGTACTTATTGACTCCAAACGGGGCCTTAATCATTAATCCTGTACCCCCAAGCTACAGAAGCTCTATCAACTGCAATCAGCAAAGCCCCGTGTGAATCTGGTTATCTTGATGAGAACTCCATCGAAATCTCTAGGTCAGCACCAGCTCCAGTAGGTTCCAGGGCTGCTCCCCCTCTGAGTCGACGACATTCCTCATCCAGCTCTTGCTGTGCCAGCGGCAAATCTGCACATGTCTGGCTCACAGCCTGCAGCTTTTCGGGGCTTTTCAGGGATAGGAATGTTCCCATCGAATCGATCCCACATCGCTAGGGGCTTTTCGTGGTGCCAAACATCGTTCCTCGTCCCAAGAGATTTTCAGAACTGGATAGTCCGACCTGGGAGATATCCGTTATTTATAGCTCCTGGTGTATCACTTCTATGTCTATCATTTCTGGTGCAGTACATCCCATGATCTTTCGTCGACAAAACGCTGCCCCATCCCTGCTGTTGTTGATAAACACATTTCTCTGAAGCGCATCCCCATCCCCCATCCACATAAATCATCACAAATCGATAGATATAGATAGATTATAGAGAGATAAACAGATAGATATTCTAGATAGATATTCTAGATATCTGAATATCTAATCCCTCCACAACCCAATATCCTCTGGTGATTTAACATAGCTATTGAAAATGACAATTTATAGTTGATTTTCCCATTAAAAATGGGGATTTTCCATAGTTTTTTGTATGTTTACCATATCCTCCCTATCCACCTGGTGCACATACTCGAAGAAGCTCCGCACTCCTCGCACCCCTGCGGCATCCGTCACCGGCCCGTGGCCCGGCACGAAGAGCCAGTCCTCGCCGGTGGCCTCCATGTGGCTCCGTTGTGGCTCCGCGGCGACCGAGTGGTCGTTGGGTGGTCGTTGGGAGAACTATGACTGGTTGGGATCGAAGATGTCAAAAAGCTATATAGTCATAGTACAGTTGGATAGCTATATATATATATAGCTATACTATATATATACTATATATATACTATATATATACTATATATATATACTATATATATAGCTATACTATATACATAGCTATATAGTTATAACTATGACTGGTTGTATATATTCTAATCATAGTACAGTTGGATATGTGATTTAACATGTATAACATATTGGAATGACTGGTTGACATCATGTAACATGACAGTTTAGTAGAATTGGCTAAGTATTAGATGAACTATGAGGATCACAATGACTACCATCGTTGGGTTGTATCATAGTTGACAGTGATGTTGCAGAGAGCACCTAACTGTGATAGTAAAAACCCAATGAATTGTAAGCTACAGGGTGATGTTCTACTTCCTGGATGATGCTTGAAGCTACTATTTGGGGACTAGACTGGGTGAGTCCCAGTTCCTCACCATTTGATCGCATTCCCTTAGTAGCAACCGCAATCATATCAATCATTGAATAGCCCTTTCAGAATAATGATAAGTTCAAAAAAACATCAGCATCATCAATTAATCAACAATGAGAACTGGGCAATAATGTAGTACCAACAATTTCATTGATCCCATTATGTAGTGCCAACAAGGACAATAATCAATGCCACCCTCTTTCAATGTCAATCTCATCCCATGAGTCCCACAAAACTTCACAGCAAACCTCCAGCAAGTCGTCCAAAGCTTTCACCCAGGCAGCAGCAGGCCCAGCCCTGATGGCGAGAGACCATGTTATGCCCGGGTCTTCCAAGAACCACGCTGCTGTTTGGATGTTTGATGAAAAACTTGAGATGAAAAATATGGAAAATGGAAGTTTCAACCCCAAAAAATTGAGATGAAAACTCACCCAAAAGAGGATTGAAACCCAAAAAAATCTACGGCTTTTTGTGCCACAGAAATGGAGATATTCCGTCACCAGTCGCCAAGGAGCCACATCACCGGCGCGATGCCGATGAAGAGCAGGTCCCCCGCATAGCACACGCGGCTCTCCGGTAGGAGCAGCACAGAATCCTTGTGAAGCTGCGGATGGCATGGCGGGGATTGGGCATTGCCCAACGACCAACGGGATTGTAGTGAAGTGCTATGAAAATCACCATGCATTTTTAATGGCTAAATTGGCTAAATCATTTAAATCAACTATTTCGACTGGGCCATTTTCAATAGCTATGTTTGTTTACCAGAGGGTATTGGGTTTGGAACAGAGTTGGCCTGAAAGGATCGAAATGGGCGAACAACCACCTGGTACTTCACCGAGGAATCGCCAAGAGGCGCTCTTGGAGTGGATGGAGCCCATCTGCCAGAACCTCAGTCTGATTGGGGACGTTTCCCCTATCCATCTTGTTTGATATTGACAAAATATCCCATGTATGTGCTTTAGTTATACTTCACTGCAACCCCCAATTTAGTTAGGTCTGTCCCCCATTATACTGCGGCTACTCTCTTACCCTGCAAAAGAAAATATATTGTTCAGCTGGGTATGAACAAAAACACCATTTACCCTCTGGTAAACTAACATAGCTATTGAAAATGGCCATTCATAGTTGATTTACCCATCAAAAATGGTGGATCTTTCCATAGTTTTTTGTATGTTTACCAGATGGTAAAAATCACCAACCATCTAACTACCACCAAGGTTTACCCAATACCTGTGGGACCTGTCGAACACCATTCTGCACCCGCCAAGACACTTCACTGGTAGAGACGAGCCCACCACGATGTCATCTCCTGCCCCCAAGGAGTTGGAAAGTCTCCCGAATCCACTTTTTGCAAATACAGATGTACATCTACAGTGGAACACCTATCAAAGAAACCATCCATTTACCACCCTGTAGTGTTCCCTAACCCCATGGTTTCCCAACTTCACCCTGTCTGCAGCTCCTGTTTTGAGTGTCTGCGCAAAGTGCGGCAGCTTCTCCCCCTCGATGGAATCCAAGTTGAAACCTGCGAGGTACAGTCATCCAAATGGATGCCCATGACCGTATTGAAAGCCATGGTGACGACTGGGGATTCCTATTTCAAGAAACCCCCAAATGTCGTTCTCAGTAGGTTTCTTTGGTAACCGAGCAAGTGATGAGCCCACCATTGTTTGACGATTGGTGGTATTTTATGATTCTGAATGAGTATGATTGATATCATCCTCAATGGATATCATCGCTGTGAATCAAGGGATGTCCATCCCCTGGCGCTCATCGCATTTTTAAGGACGGATTTTCGGATGCCAACAATTTTTGCCAAGACATGGCCACCAGTCAGCAGCGAGTTGACCCACCCATCGCTGCCTCCCAACTTGAAGGCGTAGTGCGCGAAGCGGAACACCTCCAGGGCTTTGGGCTGCGCCCAACTTGGCAGCAGAGGAAGCATCCTGGGGCCTGGCGACATCGCTGCTGGTTCTGCAGAGGATTTCGAGGCGAAGAATGGCATTTTCGCCCTGAAAAAATGTGATTTCACACAAGTGGGATTCTTGGGGTCAAACCAAAGCTGCAAAAGAGGATTTCGGAAGATGGGAAATCCTGAACTGACCAATGGCATGGCCGTTCTGAGTTTCATGGACCCATGGGATTTTGGGAACCAACCAATGGCTAGCGGCGACTTTTGGGAACACCCAACGTCGGACTGATCTCCGGGATCCGAACAACCAAAATTGATGAACTCTTCCAGCCATCCGAACAGGCTTGGTGCTATTTTGAATTTCCCAAATCCCCCCAAAAAAATGTCGTTTTGCTTCCTCCACATCTGATTTCTCGCCGAAATTCGGAATGTCATAGAAAAAAAAAGTAAAACAAGTTGTTCCCCCAGGTTTGGGGAGATCTCTCCCCATGGAAAATCTCCTCTTTCCACCATGGCGCACCTCCCAGCAGCTGCAGGGTCTGCCATAAGAGGTGCCCCAGATGAATCGTGAGTCGCATCATCGTCAGGGACTTGGCCTCGAAGCAAATGGCATTCGTGGCCAGTTGATGAACCTGGTGATTTATATCTGATGAACCTATGATGGCTTAAATGGATCACTGCAACATCTTTGTTAGTTGTTTATGAGTTACAACGGATTTTATGATGAATTTCGTGATGATCTTTGATGATTTACAATGATCTATGACCCTGGCTGATGATTTATGATCACTTCCGATTATGATGAATTCATGATGGATAATCACTTCTCATCCTTTCAGCAGCCGCCGGAAAAAGCCGTCCTGTGCCAGTATGTCCTGCTGCGCTTTCTCGTCGCCCAAACGAGGGATGTCCAGCGGGACAGCCTCACGCGCTGGGCAAATGGGATGGTTTAAGGCTGCGAATGGACACAACTATCATTGATGTATGCTTCAGTACAAATGACATCTTGGGTCGAGGGTGTTTTTTTGGAATATCTCTCCAATTTTTCTTCAACTCTCTGAGTCTCTGTTTGTTTCTGCAACAGGCACGCAACAAATATCCTGGTGTCGTGGACATCATGGATGACCCATCAGGTTGCACCTGGTTGCCCAAGATGTGATCCACATCAGGATGTGTGAAGACCACCGCCTAGATTCCGCGGAAGGGGGAATTCATCAACAGAACAACAAAAAATCATCGTCATCACATCGGAAACAGAAAAAAGGCCGGAAGGAAGTGCTTAGCATTGTCGGAATCTGAGTGTTTTTCCTTGGAGGCAGATAAGTAGCTGCAACATTTGTGTATGGATCAAAATCAAGACCCACACGGACAAGCAGAATCACTGTATGTCCAACCATATATGGGGATGACCCACTTGCTTTATGGCTTTATGGGGTAAATTTGTCATGTTGGTCACTAACCCTGCCTTGCCAATCAAAGAGCGCAAAATGTCTACGATTTAGTGGTGTCATAATTATCTAGGCTGAAAAGGACAGTTCTGGACAATATTCAGACACAGTTGCCCATCAAGTCCACAAACTCTCAAAATCTAGTCTTATGTTCCATACTTGCATAGTCTTAAACTGCTGTGTCTAGCTGTTCATTCAGAAAAAAACGTAGGCAAAACATAGGTGCCATGACCCATTTTGTTAGTGCTCAACCCCAATGTTCATTGGCTACGCCCCATTTCTTGTGGCACCCGTCGTGTCACCGGGGGCCATCCCCAGCCACGACCCCCCGCTCTCACCGAGCTGCTCCAATGCTACCCTGTCCACCGCCTACGCCTCGAAAGGATAGAAAAATTGAGGATATTAAGGGATACTAAGTATAATAGTACTATAATTAAGTATCATTTCTTCAGTACCGAGGATATTAAGAAATGAAAAAACTCCCTGGAACTGGTCACGAATTAAGTCATCTGTCAACATCCCCATTGTTTTTGGTGATGAACACCCAGTTCGTGCTGGTCGTATTGTAAGGAAACTCCCCAGTTGTGGATAAAAACATGAAAACAGATTTCCACAACTAACAAAACCTCCATATGTATATTTCTAGTATATCTACATAGTCTATATATATATACAGTATGTCTAGAATATTGTAGATAGACTATATATATATATTATATATACTGTATATATTTATAGTTGCTTGGTGAAGCTCCCCATACGAAGCCGGATAGTTCGGATTTCTCCAGGCGCCTGTGGCAGGTTTCAATTCTGCGAGCATCGTAGACGTGAGCACTGGATCCATCAGTGTGTCCACCAGCAATCCTGCGATATCTGCTGCGATCAGAAAACAAAAAAAAATGCTGTGCGAAAACTCTTCAACTCGAAACGTTGTCAAAACGAACATCAAATAGATTGGAAGATTGGAATCCACTTTGATTTTGATCCTCAAATTCGCATTGAAAACAAAAAACAAAGATGGGTGTACCTAAAAAAATGGTTCGTATACCCAAACTGATGACCAGCCATGTGATTCCGCCCGCTCCTTGCCCTTTGAGAGAAGCCATGAAGCCCGCATTGGACCAGCACCAGGAACCATTGGGCTGGATGAAGGCATAGGGCACCTTGATATGACAACACCCCATGGAAAGACCGTGAGAAAAAAAATAGCACCAGAAATGATTCTCGGCATTTGAAGTAAAGAAAGATCACAAAACCATACCTGGTTGGTGGTTTTAACCATCTTGAAAAATATGAAAGTCAATGGGAAGGATGATTATCCCATATATGAAATGGAGACAAAAAATTCATGTTTGAAACCACCAACCAGATATTATTAACCATCATTAACCATCATTAACCATCATTAACCATCATTAACCATCATTAACCATCATTAACCATCATTAACCATCATGAAACCATACAAAATCATACAGAAAAGGTCCATAAATCTCACCATAGATTTCACCCAGCCACAAAGTCTCCGGCAAAATCCTTGGGTCTCAGCTGCTGCCAGCCGCACACGAAGGGATGACCCGGTAGGGTCCGCTGCTCCAACCTGCGAAATGGCAAACGTTGTGGAGGATTGGGTGATGTAACTTATGGTTTATGTGGTTTATGATACTTATAACTATAGATAATTGATGGAGTTTATAAACCAATTTATAACTATAACGAAAATACAACGGAAAGACTCTAAACGGTATACAGATAAAAATACAGTAACCCACGGAAATTGGGATTTTTTGTGGATTGACAAGATTAGCTTTTTATTGTATGAACAACAAGAGTTTGGAATGCATGGATTGGGGTTCAACCACCGAAAATTGGCACCAAAAATTGTTGATTTGATCAAAAAATGTGGATGTCACACTCAACGAAAATTAGGCTGTCATTGCAGTACCATCACGAAGGCAATGGATATCTTCCTCATCCCACCTTAAGGTCTAGTAGCATATGATGGTCAAGTCCAAACTGGGCTAAGACATAGAGCGACAACTTTTTCAATGGGATCCCAAAATGAATAGATCCTTCCGATGGACCTCCGGGATCTTCACGAAACAATTTGGATTCTCACTCCATTTCGGTTTAATATGGTTTTATAGGGATGATAATGGAATCATGATGGGATAATACTGGGATATTGATGGATATACCCTCTGGTAAACATACAAAAAGCTATTGAAAATGGCCCAGTCGAAATAGTGGATTTACCCATTAAAAGTGGATGGTGATTTTCCATAGCAAACTGTTAGTTTACCAGAGGGTAAAATAGCATGTATCATCTGATAATGAAGGACTCAATCATTACTGTGTCGTCGTGCTAGTGAGCGAAGCGCGAAGCGCACCGAACGTTCTGGCAGGAGTTCTGGTAGTGCTGGCGCTTGAAGATTTGCGTCCAAACAAAGAAACCTGGCTTCCAACTGAGCAACAGAACACACTTCGAAGCGTTCACCATAAAAATAGGGCAGAAAAACTGAAGATGAAACATGGTTTCTATCTATAATCTATTGCCTGTCTTTCTGCTGGCTGTCTGTCGGCCGGTCGGTCCGTCTGTCCGTCGGTCTGTCTGTCTGTCTGTCTGTCCGTCGGTCTGTCTGTCTGTCCATCCATCTCTCCATCTCTCCATCTCTCCATCTCTCCATCTCTCCATCTCTCCATCTCTCCATCTCTCCATCCATCCATCCATCCATCCATCCATCTATCTATCCTTCTTTCTATCTACGTCTTTCTTCCCCCTCTCCCTCCCACCCACCAATCCATCCATCATCCATCTCCCTCCCTACTTACCTATCTATGCCGAAAAAAAGTAGTGGACTGCCGAACACATGTGCGTTGCACAACCGCTGAGAATCGACAAAAACGGTGGCTGTTTGTTTTGTGCCAAGCTGCCAACAGCGCAAAGCAACAGAAACAGTATCAGGAGGCAATTCTTCATTTTCTTCAGCATGGCTCAATTCATGAGACGCCGAAAAAGCGATGGGAAATCTTCGAAATGCTGGTCTTCTGCATCGAGAAGGCTGGGTGTGTGTTGTGCTGCAGCTGTTTCTGTTAGATGTTGCACGAATCTTCCCCTGGCAATGCTGCAGGTTTCTGGCACAAAATCTCAGTCGCAAGACGCTCGACACGGGATCCAACTTTTGCTGAAAATGTCCCATCCTCCAACGGTAAAACGTCCAATTGCCGGCTTATTGACGATTCATAGATGAGCTCTGGTGCTGCCCGGAGCCAAACAGCAAGAAAGAACGGCTGGTCCGGGCAAAGCAGTCAAAAATTCTGGTTGACCATATCCAGCCACAGCTGTATTTCATCACATCTAATTGAAGACATCCCCAGCGGCAGTTTGGGGTGGATCTTTGGAGCTCCCATCCAGACCTTTTGGGGAAAAGGATGGGTTGGACGAGTACCATCATTTACATATCAATTGTGAAAGGTTGGTCAAACAGGTGAGAAGCAGACATCTATGGCTCAAATCAGACGGCTATTGGGGATATCATTAAGAATCTAAACTACCAAACCTTGGGCTGGGATACAACAGTTCTCATCCCCAACTGAAGTCACCATCTTTTAGTAGGTTGTTATACAGGTTGTATTAATGTCCGCCTTGTTAGATTATGTAGCCATTTTGGATGATGAAACCTACATGTTGCGGGTTCTATAGCCATTTGGGATGGTTAAACCATGTTAAATCCAGATTTGTAACAGCCTTTTAACATCTGTAGAAATCACCACTTTAGTTGGCTAAATCCCCTCACTTTGGATGGTAAATCACCATTTTTCATGGGATTATATATGATGGTTTTCCATAGAAATAGTTGATTTTCCCATTCAAAATGGTGGATTCTATAGTCAATGGATTGGATTAAGGGAAAATTTACAGGAAAGCCCCATATTTAATGGGAAAATCTATGGTTTCCTGTAAATTTTCCCTTAAACCAATCCATTGATATAGCCATTTTGGATGGCTAAACCAATGGCAAGGCCACATCTGGATCCGAGGCTCTCACTGAGTTGCATCTACCGTGGCGGACATCAGCACCAGTCGCCTCGTGTCGTCCCAGGACTTAAAGAGACCTGGAAATGTATGGGACATATGGGCGTTTTAACATATTTAAACCAGGAGAATTTGTGGTTTTAACACATCTTAATCTCAAAAAAGTGTTGGTAGATCCCCTTTCAGATATCTACCCATATGGAAGAAGTATCACTTATCGGAGATCATGGAGGGCAGCAATGGGTGACTGGGGATTCCACAGGTTGGGATTCTTCTCCAAACTTCGCTTCAGAAGCAGACACAGCAGGTCCTGCACCAATCGTCGAGATTTTCCATGCCCTTTTCAAAAGATTTCCCAGGATGAATTGCATAGATTGTCATACCATAATGAATCATAATGACCATAATCATATATATATATCCGCCGACCCCGGCTGCGCAAGGGGGAGCGCGTCAGGGAATAAGACAGCAGCACCCAGCCAGTAGCCAGCAGTCAATATCCGCCGACCCCGGCAGACGCAAGGGGGAGCGTGCCAGGGAATAATACTTTTGACTCTTGTTTCGGACTACTACTACTACTACTACTGCTACTACTACTACTACTACTACTACTACTACTGCCATGGTGTTTTCCCATCCGGCAGGTGCCTTTTGAACAGAAGGAGTCACAGGAGCAGGAGCAGCAGCAGCAGCAGGAGGAAATAGAAGGTGTTTGACAAGACGGTTATCATCACAAAGGCAGTTCTTTTTTTTTCTAGGATTTCAGAAGGGACGTTAGGCACTTTTTGGGCTCGATTTTGGAGCGTTTTGGGCACGAAATTAGGTGGCGTTTCAGCGTTTCAAGTGGTGGCCATGAGCAGCAGCAGCAACAGGAGCAACAGGAGGGTTCTATGTCTCATTGCACAAACAGTGGTATAAACATTGGTCGAAAACTATAAACATTGGTATATTATTGTGATTGATTTTGCGTCATGTTCGGCACGAAATTAGGTGTCTGGCTGCTGGTTTCTTACTTTATTAGAGGCAGTAGCAGCAATCAAAATTAGAGATCAAATTGGACAAAATTAGATTTCTATTGGACAAAGTTGGATTTCTAGTAGGATTTCAGAAGGGACGTTTCGGCCCCCGAAAACCTATTCTTGTGATTGATTTTGCGTCATGTTCGGCAGGAAATTAGGTGGTGTTTTGCTGTTTCGGCTGTGTTTTAAAAAAGGTGTCTGGCTGCTGGTTTCTTGCTTTATTATAGGCAGCAGCAGCAGTCAAAATTAGAGATCAAAATTGGATAAAATTGGATTTCTAGTAGGATTTCAGAAGGGACGTTTCGGCCCCCGAAAACCTAATATTGTGATTGATTTTCCGTCATGTTCGGCACGAAATTGGGTGGTGTTTTGCTGTTTCGGCTGTGTTTTAAAAAAGGTGTCTGGCTGCTGGTTTCTTGCTTTATTAGAGGTAGCAGCAGCAATCAAAATTAGAGATCAATCAAATTTGACTAAAATTAGATTTCTATTGGACAAAATTGGATTTCTAGTAGGATTTCAGAAGGGACGTTTCGGCCCCCGAAAACCTATTATTGTGATTGATTTTGCGTTATGTTCGGCACGAAATTAGGTGGTGTTTTGCTGTTTCGGCTGTGTTTTACAAAAGGTGTCTGGCTGCTGGTTTCTTGCTTTATTATAGGTAGCAGCAGCAGTCAAAATTAGAGATCAAAATTGGACAAAATTGGATTTCTAGTAGGATTTCAGAAGGGACGTTTCGGCCCCCGAAAACTTAATATTGTGATTGATTTTCCGTCATGTTCGGCACGAAATTGGGTGGTGTTTTGCTGTTTCGGCTGTGTTTTAAAAAAGGTGTCTGGCTGCTGGTTTCTCGCTTTATTAGAGGCAGCAGCAGCAATCAAAATTAGAGATCAAATTTGACTAAAATTAGATTTCTATTGGACAAAATTGGATTTCTAGTAGGATTTCAGAAGGGACGTTTCGGCCCCCGAAAACCTATTATTGTGATTGATTTTGCGTTATGTTCGTCACGAAATTAGGTGGTGTTTTGCTGTTTCGGCTGTGTTTTAAAAAAGGTGTCTGGCTGCTGGTTTCTTGCTTTATTATAGGTAGCAGCAGCAGTCAAAATTAGAGATCAAAATTGGACAAAATTGGATTTCTAGTAGGATTTCAGAAGGGACGTTTCGGCCCCCGAAAACTTAATATTGTGATTGATTTTCCGTCATGTTCGGCACGAAATTGGGTGGTGTTTTGCTGTTTCGGCTGTGTTTTAAAAAAGGTGTCTGGCTGCTGGTTTCTCGCTTTATTAGAGGCAGCAGCAGCAATCAAAATTAGAGATCAAATTTGATTAAAATTAGATTTCTATTGGACAAAATTGGATTTCTAGTAGGAGTTCAGAAGGGACGTTTCGGCCCCCGAAAACCTAATATTGTGATTGATTTTCCGTCATGTTCGGCACGAAATTGGGTGGTGTTTTGCTGTTTCGGCTGTGTTTTAAAAAAGGTGTCTGGCTGCTGGTTTCTTGCTTTATTAGAGGCAGCAGCAGCAATCAAAATTAGAGATCAATCAAATTTGACTAAAATTAGATTTCTATTGGACAAAATTGGATTTCTAGTAGGATTTCAGAAGGGACGTTTCGGCCCCCGAAAACCTATTATTGTGATTGATTTTGCGTTATGTTCGGCACGAAATTAGGTGGTGTTTTGCTGTTTCGGCTGTGTTTTACAAAAGGTGTCTGGCTGCTGGTTTCTTGCTTTATTATAGGTAGCAGCAGCAGTCAAAATTAGAGATCAAAATTGGACAAAATTGGATTCTAGTAGGATTTCAGAAGGGACGTTTCGGCCCCCGAAAACTTAATATTGTGATTGATTTTCCGTCATGTTCGGCACGAAATTGGGTGGTGTTTTGCTGTTTCGGCTGTGTTTTAAAAAAGGTGTCTGGCTGCTGGTTTCTCGCTTTATTAGAGGCAACAGCAGCAACAAACAGTGGTATAAACATTGGTCGAAAACTATAAACATTGGTATATTATTGTGATTGATTTTGCGTCATGTTCGGCACGAAATTAGGTGTCTGGCTGCTGGTTTCTTACTTTATTAGAGGCAGTAGCAGCAATCAAAATTAGAGATCAAATTGGACAAAATTAGATTTCTATTGGACAAAGTTGGATTTCTAGTAGGATTTCAGAAGGGACGTTTCGGCCCCCGAAAACCTATTCTTGTGATTGATTTTGCGTCATGTTCGGCAGGAAATTAGGTGGTGTTTTGCTGTTTCGGCTGTGTTTTAAAAAAGGTGTCTGGCTGCTGGTTTCTTGCTTTATTATAGGCAGCAGCAGCAGTCAAAATTAGAGATCAAAATTGGATAAAATTGGATTTCTAGTAGGAGTTCAGAAGGGACGTTTCGGCCCCCGAAAACCTAATATTGTGATTGATTTTCCGTCATGTTCGGCACGAAATTGGGTGGTGTTTTGCTGTTTCGGCTGTGTTTTAAAAAAGGTGTCTGGCTGCTGGTTTCTTGCTTTATTAGAGGTAGCAGCAGCAATCAAAATTAGCGATCAATCAAATTTGACTAAAATTAGATTTCTATTGGACAAAATTGGATTTCTAGTAGGATTTCAGAAGGGACGTTTCGGCCCCCGAAAACCTATTATTGTGATTGATTTTGCGTTATGTTCGGCACGAAATTAGGTGGTGTTTTGCTGTTTCGGTTGTGTTTTACAAAAGGTGTCTGGCTGCTGGTTTCTTGCTTTATTATAGGTAGCAGCAGCAGTCAAAATTAGAGATCAAAATTGGACAAAATTGGATTTCTAGTAGGATTTCAGAAGGGACGTTTCGGCCCCCGAAAACTTAATATTGTGATTGATTTTCCGTCATGTTCGGCACGAAATTGGGTGGTGTTTTGCTGTTTCGGCTGTGTTTTAAAAAAGGTGTCTGGCTGCTGGTTTCTCGCTTTATTAGAGGCAGCAGCAGCAATCAAAATTAGAGATCAAATTTGACTAAAATTAGATTTCTATTGGACAAAATTGGATTTCTAGTAGGATTTCAGAAGGGACGTTTCGGCCCCCGAAAACCTATTATTGTGATTGATTTTGCGTTATGTTCGGCACGAAATTAGGTGGTGTTTTGCTGTTTCGGCTGTGTTTTACAAAAGGTGTCTGGCTGCTGGTTTCTTGCTTTATTATAGGTAGCAGCAGCAGTCAAAATTAGAGATCAAAATTGGACAAAATTGGATTCTAGTAGGATTTCAGAAGGGACGTTTCGGCCCCCGAAAACTTAATATTGTGATTGATTTTCCGTCATGTTCGGCACGAAATTGGGTGGTGTTTTGCTGTTTCGGCTGTGTTTTAAAAAAGGTGTCTGGCTGCTGGTTTCTCGCTTTATTAGAGGCAGCAGCAGCAATCAAAATTAGAGATCAAATTTGACTAAAATTAGATTTCTATTGGACAAAATTGGATTTCTAGTAGGATTTCAGAAGGGACGTTTCGGCCCCCGAAAACCTATTATTGTGATTGATTTTGCGTTATGTTCGTCACGAAATTAGGTGGTGTTTTGCTGTTTCGGCTGTGTTTTAAAAAAGGTGTCTGGCTGCTGGTTTCTTGCTTTATATAGCAGCAACCGCAGCAATCAAAATTAGAGATCAAAATTGGACAAAATTAGATTTCTGTTGGACAAAATTGGATTTCCAGTAGGATTTCAGAAGGTACGTTTCGGAGGCCTCGAAAAAAGTAGATTTTGGCATCGGTTCGTCCTTTAGGGCCATGCTGTTTTACTGCCGGGAGGTGTTTCGCAGGCGAGAGCAGCGGCAGCCGTGCAGCAGCTAGCAGCCAGTCAGCAGCAGCCAGCAGCTTTTAACAGCTCTTAACAAGATGGAAATAAGGTGGAAAATGATATTTTTGTAGGATTTCAGAAGGAACGTTCCGGCCCCGAAAAACGTAGATTTTGGCATCGGTTCGTCCTTTAGGGCCATGCTGTTTTACTGCCGGGAGGTGTTTCGCAGGCGTTCGCCAAGCACTAAGAGCAGCCGCAGCAGTGCAGCAGCTAGCAGCCAGCCAGCAGCAGCCAGCAGCTTTTAACAGCTTGTAACAAGGTGGAAATAAGGTGGAAAAATGATATTTTTGTAGGAGGGACGTTCCGGTCTCGAAAAACGTAGATTTTGGCATCGGTTCGTCCTTTAGGGCCATGCTGTTTTACTGCCGGGAGGTGTTTCGCAGGCGTCCGCCAGCAGTAGCAGTAAGAGCAGCGGCAGCATTGCAGCAGCTAGCAGCCAGCCAGCAGCTTTTAACAGCTTGTAACAAGGTGGAAATAAGGTGGAAAACTGATATATTTTTTTAGGATTTGTAGGATTTCAGTAGAGAGTTTTACTGCCGGGAGGTGTTTAGCAGGCTAAGAGCAGCGGCAGCCGTGCAGCAGCTAGCAGATAGCAGCAGCCAGCAGCTTTTAACAGGTCTTAACAAGGTGGAAATAAGGTGGAAAAATGAACCTGTGCGGCGCAACACTAGCTGTATAATAATAGGGCCAGAAATATCATATATATATCTATCTATCTATCTATCTATCTAACTATTATACAGTTACTTAGGTCCATGAACCCATAAAACCATAGGATCAGAATATTAACATGAACACAAATGAAAAACCCATTTACACATGAAAATTCAAACCTATCAAATATATTTCACAACAATATACATAGGAAAAAGGTCGAAAGCCTCAAGCTACGAAACACCGAAGAGTTTTTATGCCAATTTGCTTTGCTTCCTTGCCGATTCTTCCGGGGTCGGCGGCAGGGGCGGCAGCCCTTAAATAAATATCATCATAGTGGCCAATGTAGCTTCTTCAGACTTGATTTGCACGCTTTCTCCTCGAAACTTCCTCAAAAACATATAAAAACACACCACTTCCGAGCTAAATGTGGCAGCTTTGGGTAGCTTCACCGTAGTACCACGGTGCCGTGGATTGGCAGTCCATATCCAGATCTCGTTCGTGAATCTCGTCCAACACAATGTGGCTGTAGTGGCGCAAGGCCTGGCCGCTGGATCCGCCGGATCCGCTGGTGACCAGTGCACCCTTCCGACCCTTCACCAGAAATGTCCACACCTCCGGGCGGTGAGCCAGATACATCAACAGCCATCCTGTTGTCACGAAAGATAAACGCGTGGACGTCGACACCTGTCGTGGAGTGGTGGTTGGGAATTACACCGAATGGTGTGTTCCACTACAAGTAGGGGCAAGCTTATCTATATTGGTAGTGAGTCCCACAACTTAAAAAGTGGGTATGTCAGATTTGATTCGTTCAGTTCCAGACTGGAAAATGAACTCAACTAGAGATGCCACCTTCAGAATCAACAGCATCTCCAATATATTGAATACTGCAACTGTAACTCATCACACCTTGCAAGCTTTCAGTCTAGTGGCTTGCCACCCACTTCTTGACTACGAACATACATCTTGATCTTTGGTTCCAATTCCAAGTGTATGTCTAGTGTATTTCGTATAGGTAGATCAGACAGATCAGATAGATCAGATAGATCAAATAGATGAAATAGATCAAACAAATGAAATAGATGAAATAGATGAAATAGATCAAACAGATCAGATAGATATCTAAAATACACTAAAATACACTAAAAAAATTGTAGCATCGTGGCAACTGTAGCACTGCGCGTACCCCACCTGGCCATCCATGGCCACGCGGTAGCCCACCGTCTGCCCCACGGACTCGTTGAGCTGCGAAGCAACACCTGTGGTCCAGTTTTGGACAGTCAACCAACAGATCAAACGTTGTGGGGATATGGTTGATAAATGATGGTTGATTGATGATTAATGATGGGTTACTGAAATTTGGAAAAGTTGGTTTATAGGTTTATAGGAATCTAGCCAAAAGGAGAACTGATCATTGTACATCGTAATCAATATGTTGTTTGCTTATAATCAACTGTGTGCTTGAGAGGGGATTCCCATATCGGATTACATAATCCTTTTTCGACCAGGTAGTGTCTGCCATTTTTGACCATCAACCACCCAGACTTTTAGGAATTGCTGAGAGGACAATGTTTCAGGAGGTTGAGGGGTTGATATGTCCCAAAACAGCGAGCGAATGACAGTGTCACCCCCCGCCGTTGAAAGAGGTATAAAAAGGTCAAAAGGTCGCCTCCTCCTTTTTCAACACCCCAAATGGCACCCAAAATGTCGCACCCAAAACTAAAACCCAAGAAATCATCCACTGTCAAAAATCATCCAAAAACCTCCACCCGGGTGTTCCAACGCTGCGCCAGGGAGATGGCTGCGATGCGGCGTGGCTGGGTCACCGCCTCAGGGTTTCCCCAGTTTGGATGGTTCAAATGGGATATGGAGAAATCATGCGGAAATCATGAGAAAATGATGGGAAAAAATGGGAATACGAAAAATGATTGGCAAATGATGGGAGAGTATATCGATTTATATGGAATCAATTTATGGGACTATTGTGGGATAATGATCGATGCATTGTCGCAGTTCCAAAATGTCGCTGCTTTCAATTATCCAAGTATACACATAATTTGAATCAGCTTGAAAAGTCGATATACTGTATTGGGTTCAATCATCTTCCCAGCCAGTGACCAATCGCAGCCAGTGGACAGAATCATGAGAAGCATGCAGAAAATGCTTGCTAAGATCTGTTCGCTGGTAAAATGATGTAAAATGACTCCAACCAATACCACAAAGCAAACATAAATTCCAAGGTTGTTTTGAAAAGAAGCTACCATCATTTGGATTTCCAAGATTCCACGCTACAGCAGGTTTCACACATATCCAAGCTCCTCATCTCACCAATATCAACTTCCGCAACTTCTTTGGATTCTCACCAAAGATGTTCCCTAGCCATATAAGTTATTCTAGGAAAAATCATTATTTTATATTACTATAAATACATATATACATATATATATTACAGTTATAACATGTTAAAACAACCATGTAGTGTTATATAATAATCATAACTATATAATAGTATAAATAGTATAATATATATACACTACATGATTATATATCTTATATTATATTATATCATATTACTATCCCCATTTGTTCAAAACCCATGGCCACCATCCCATCCCATCCCATCCCATGGCCCCGGCGATTTTACTCTTGGGATCCTCCAAGAAGACCATGGGCATCACCGAAGACCTCGCCCGGAGGTCTTCGAAAAAACCCGGAGGCGATTTCAACAGGTGAGAAAAAGGTGATTTTAGGTCATTTTAAGATGGTATTTCCCATCTAAATCATCAAAAAAAACAATCATGGATAATAAAGATGGCCTAGATGGTTTTGTTTTGATGATTTAGATGGGACTGGGGACTTTGAATAATACGACAGACTGTATAGACCATGAATAATCTGCAAAAGGTTCCGGTGATGTTTCAGTTTCACATCCGCGACATTTGCACAGATCTGGGAATCTGATTCCAATGGCGATGAACGATGAACCAAGATTCATCATGGTTCCAGCTTGATTTGACAGCAATTCAGTTTGTGCCTCACCATGACCCACTTCCTAGCCATCATTCCAGACATTCCAGACATACCAAGCCCCCAACTTGCCACAGCCGGTCTCACCCTGGATGCAAATCACTTGCGACTGCCTGAAGCGGCAACGAATCCGCAAAGGGACCACCAGTTTGGTGACTGCAAACTGAAGTATCGAGCTTTCAGGATCGAACAGTAACTAGAGTCATCTGCAGAAAGTGGACATTCAGAGCACTTTTATTAGGCAAATTGCATATATTGCATAGCAGCTCATCATTTTCCCCACTTCAAATGCACGAATCTTTCAAAGCTCGGGACCCAGATGGACCCCCCCAAACTTTCACCCAGTTGGTGCAGACTCTGCGGGTGCACTCAGAAGTGCCTGCATGGCAGAAGTCATCACCGCTGGACCTTCACTTCTTTCACCTCTGGATCCACTGCATAGACTGGACACGTCGATACAACTGGCCGAAGTGGAACGACTGGACACATCCAGCGTCATCTTTGGACCCAGGAAACGCGTGTGCAGTGTGCTGCAGTTTTTTGTGAGCTCCGGTTTCTGTTGATACGTTGCCCGCTGCAGGGTCTCTTGCTCCACCTGCTGCATCAGCGTTTCCAACAGGAGGGACAGTGGCATTTCACGCCATCCATGGTCAATAAAGGCTTTGGTCAAAAAGCCATGTCCAGTATCTGGACATTGTTGGGCCCAGTTTGCGGCTTCACAGGCATTCAGGATCACAAAGTCCGGCTTCAGATTTTGCTTCCGCCTGACCGCCTGCTTCTTTTTGCTGGCCGCTGCTGCTGCCAATTTGATCCTGTCTGCTTGGCTGCGTGGTTGTGATCGACAGGCATCCAGGATGCAGAAATACAGGGGTTTGATCTGGGAACCGTCCTCCAAGTAAGCTTTTGCAGGACATTCCATCAGACTATCCAAAGAAATCAGTGGGTCACTGTAGTCCTTTGCACTGATTGGAACCAGAAACTGTGTTCCTGCTACTTCTGTTCCATGTCCAGCGTAGTAGATTGGAACCACCGGAGTTTTGAACTCACCCTGCTGAAGCTCAGTCACCAGTCTCTGCGTACTTTGATGCAATTCACTTTCCGACAGGTTGTTGCACTCGATGACATGAAAGCCTAACTTGTCCAGCATCCGACAGATGCTCTCGCCATCTTTCATGGCCCAAGGCAAAGGATCAAAGTTTCCTTCATATTTGGAGTTGCAAATCACCAGTGCTGGGGGTCTATCGGGTCTATCAACCTGGCAGTTCGCTGGTTGAGTCACTTCTCTTGCCCTGCGCCTTCGCCAACGCACTAAGGCTAAGGGAATCAGCATGAAGATCATCAAGAGGATGGAGGGACCAATCCAAAACCACCAGTGTTGGAACAGCGAGGGAACTGTGTAATTCCTACAATCCTCCTGGCAGGGGTTGCTGGAAGAATTGTTGGGTGGAAGGCAACAAGCAGAACCCACATTGCGGGAACACTCGGAGCCCACTCCATGGGAACACTTTGTCCAGCGATTTTGGCAGTCAACCTCTTGTGGCTGACATGGATCTGCTTCGGATGCTGCTCTTGCACCACCAGGACGGAGACAGCAGATCCGCTGGCCATGTTCAGTGCAATCATATCCTTCTCCATGCGCACATGCTTGGTACAAGGAACAATTCTTTGGTTGACATGGAGAATGTGGATCCGGATCCTGTGCACGTTCATTCCCCTGTGTCCAAAGGCAACAGGGCGTCTCATTTTGAAGGCAATTGAGGCCGTCGCCACGGATGCAACAACCACTCTCCTCCTGTTTACTGGGTGATGAGCCTTCCACGACACAACAAGGTTTCCTTCCTTTGCCGTGCCGGGTGGGTAGGCTCCTTCCGCAATTGTGCGTGGCACCACTGTCACCAGGCTTGCAACAGCCGTCACCGCAAACCGTGGATCCAGTGGTACAGCAACCGAATTTGCAGAAAATCCCAGCAGTTGTGGTCACATATTGCCGCTCGCAGGGATAACGTCCTCGTTTATCCGGCAGTGGCATGTCATCTTTTTCGCAGCAGGCCGCCAAATTGGTTGAATTAGGACCCCAACCACATGAGAGACACACTTGCCCTGCTGAAGAGCATTGCAAATCGGTGCAAATCTCAGAGTGTTTGGGGTAGGAAACAGCAGGACACGTCTGAAAATGATCAAAATGATTGCCGTGGATGGGCGGAGTACCACTCAAACGCCCGATGGCCGGCATTGATCCAGACATGCCGGCCCTGCCAGCCACTGGTGGGCTGGTGGAGGAAGATGGGCTAGAACCAAAAAAATGCAAACATCGCACCTCTCCACATTCCAAAGCACAGTGTTTCCTCTGCAAACTCCAATCCAAACCTCCAACGAATCATTTTCTTCAATCCATTCTCAAATCATTTCCGGACAAACAGAATCACCAAAAACCGGTCAGCAACCATCCTTTGATGATCAAATCATTCGACATCACAACCCACCATCCTGTCACCGGGCACCGGTCGCCTCAAGGCCTGCCGCACCTCGGGCGCCGCACTCCAGGCGGGCAGCTCCCGGAAGCTGGGCGCCTTTACGGCAGCACCCGCCTCGCCTTCGTCGTGGAGTGGATGAGTGTAACCAATGGGGGTATATCCCCTTACATAGGCCTGAAAAATAGGCCTTATATATGGTATAGGTACCTCCAATAAATCGGTTCCTGCTGCATGGCCATTGATTGAGTATAACCAATGGATCGAAATCATCCATTGATAGTTATAACAATATGGATATTGACAATCAATACTGCAACAATAAAATTGTAGTTATTAATGTCTATCATATGATTACATCAATGATAGTGATTGTAATGTGAATGATTATCATTGACAATCCAATAGTCCATATGGATGACATGCCATTTATGATGTCTGTATAAAATGAACGAATTAAATAGATTTAAATAATACAATAGATGGTTAATACTTAGCGAGTACGAGAATAAATGGACTATTAATGGTTACCAACATGTAGCAATCATTCAACTATCAATATACCAGTACACTGACTATCATCGGATTATGAATTGAATGGTCTATTGGGTATTGGGAATTGGTAGTAACTAAGACAGACTAACAGTAGCATTTACTATTATAGTGGATTTGCAACCAAATTGGTGTTGGTATAGTGGATCTGCAACCAATTTGGTGTTGGGTTATATATTGGCAATTGGTACTATAGTGTAGTAGTACATATGGCTAAATCCTATGTAGTTGGTTCTTGGTAGTGATGGGTGAACATGTTCTGGTCGACCTTTGTCGAATATCTTGGGATACAAAATCAAGGATTTTGCCGATTTCAAAGAGGAAACGACACATGTTTTTTCGCCTTTGGCTATCATCTCATCTCTTGGGACCTTGAAAATCTGTCAAAAAAATTGGGAAAATCTGTCAGATTCATCTGCCTGCAGGATAAAGAGGCACGGTCTTCGGCCTTGGTGCAACGCAGGGGGGAAAGGGGCCCAAAATGGCCCAAACATCGAGGACAGGAGCTGTCACCCTCACTGCTGGATTGGTTTAGTGGTTTGTTGATGCTGAATTTCCATGGTTTATCGCTTCAAATGAAACCACACTGCGTCAGAATCGCTGTGAGACCAGCGGTTTACCCATCATTTCGGCGTAGTATCACCGGTAATTTGGCGGTTTCTAATCTCATTCCTGCAATAATCATTGGTACATCCAACTACTGGTAATTATTTAGAATTTATAAGTAAATTACTGGATGAGTGGTTAATTACACTACTGGTACATTTACCAATTATAAACTACTGGTAAATTACCTGATTGGTACATCCATTGTAGCTTAGTTCCATCTTTCAAAGTTTGTTGCCAACTCGGCTCCCAACTGACCAGGCTCCAACTGTCCAGCCAAGGCCGCAGGGGCGGGAGTCACGGGCCCTTCATTCTTGCCTCCAAAGGCGACGAAATCACTAGGCACCACAAAAAATAGCTGGGCGACAGCTAGAAAAACACATTGGCACAGGGCTATAGTTTGGAAAAATGTCAAAACTCCGCATCCATTTCTTTCGAAAACTGGATTTTTTTTGAACTATCCAAGTTGCTCCAGGGGAGCATCCACATCTTTCTGACCCCCAAAACCCTCGGATCCATTCGGATCCCCGTGCATCTTTCGGCCTTTGTCTTTGCCGTCCCTTCCCTTTCGGCCTTTGCCTGCCACAAAATGTCATCACCCTTCTAGAGGCCATCAGGTCACTGTGAAGAATGTCTTATACTGGGCAATATGTCACTGGCAATTAGTATTTAGTAATTAGTATTAGTTACAACTAATTATAGTATTATATCACAATATATAGTTATTATTAATACTGGGCAATATTACTAATTACTAAATAAGATATCACTGTTATAGTATTTGGAAAGTAATAACTGCGATATATTACTGTTATATGACTGGATTATATCACTCTTATAGTATTTAGAACCATATGAAATTATCCAGTTAGATTGGTGGGAGATACTGATATATCCAAGTCAGATTAACAGGCTATTGAGAAAATATTAGTGGGAATGCAACCACCAAGTAATCAGAGGAAGTCACATCTTCTGCCACAAGTTGCCTCCATCATCGAAGGGCTTTCCGCCCTGACACCAGGGATGGATGCAACAAAGGGACAGAAAAAAATATAGCCACAACAAGTGAGCCTTAAAAATACCCATGTTGATGGGTTATTCAAAGTGGTTATACCAACTGGTTGCTGTTTATTGAGGATTCCAGCCACAGCAAGTGACAACTGACCAAAGCCATCAGCGCCTTGCCGTATCCATCATCCCAGCCCTTTCCCTGGCAGGACAAGTACAGATGCCACGTGCTGCTCGTATTGAGAAGACTTGGCGCACCACTTTTTGGAACAAAACAATTTTGGATGATAATACCGGTAAAAAAAAATGTAATCATCATTTTGTAGGGCAAAAAATATACTCATTGCCAGTCCACAATATAACCAGCCTTCGCTCCGCCGTAGCCTGCAGAGACATGGGGAAAACCCATGGCAGCAGCCCTGATGAGTCTGGGACATAGTTTCTGCACTTTGTTTGGTTGTACCAGGAAAAACCATATGGGAAAAAACTGGAAAAAAGATGTAAAACCAGGTATATAAATCTGGGTCATGTTGATCATATCCCCTTATAAACAAGTGGATTTGTTTCACTCAGAGAGGGTGAGTTTGGAAAGGGACGTTCTCCTTTTTTGGGGAAGCACCGCCCTCATTAATCAACGAGGGTCTGTTGGATGGGTCATTTGAATTTAGAAATGTGTTTTTCAAGAAATTGGGGACCCTCCAAGCTAGGAGATTCCTTTCCACAGAATACTAATTGACCTATTGTGACTGGTAGTCTTGGTGGTCCATCCATGGTTTTCTTAAAAAATGTACTAATGGACTATTCTAGATCATGCTTGGCATTGTCCGACTTGGATGAAAGCTGAACCTCCCAATGTCAGAACGGGGATGACGGTGCCTCCTCCTCCTTTGTTCTTGCCGCCGCCGCTCTTGCCCCCCATCTTCCATTAGGTGCCGGAGTCGTCACAGAACTTGCATGGTGATAGAGCTTCTAACATGTCTCATATGCCTCTGCGTCAAGCATAACGTCGAGCAGAAAATTGGGAGGTGTCCAATCAGCATGGACATATTTCACCGTCATTGAAGCGGGATGAAATGGGTATGGGTCCACCATGAATGGTGAAATTCTTGGGGTTCGCGCGAACTATGTGGCTAGAATTCGAGGTTCCCAGTGACTTGACTGCTACAGGCTTTCGGTGCTTTCGCAGTATGTCATGGCAAGGTATGCCAAAAGCTGCAGTACAGGTGCCACATATGCCATTCGGATTTTCCAGCTGTGAAACCTCAGATGGGAAATTCCTGATCCGTCCATGATTTACGTTTTGGAAACATCCGATCGAAAGACTCATCAGATCGATTGTCCACAGCACATGTCACTGGCCCAAACTGACTCCTCAATTTTGGCGCGCACACCACAACAGACATATCATCCAAAAACATCAATCGATTTGCCCAAGGTAGCGAAGTTCCCCGGAAAGAGACAAGTTGTTTGGCTCTTCCAAGGATACTTTCTTAGTGCCTGGCACTTTGCGATTTTAGGTCGCTGTGCATGGAAAATAGCGATGGAAACATGTTGATGAGCCCAGCTTCGGAGCGCAAGCCGCAGTGAGAGAGTCAATTGATCCAACTGAGACATCTTAACAAAAAAAAACAGTTTGGATCCATTAAATCTTTGGAACATTTCTGAGATCTTAGAATTTGGTCTAGATCTCCGTGGATCTTGACCTTCAAAAGCCAACTGGGCCGATGATCTTTACGATCACAGTTTCGCATCGCAGTGTGTTGTGGTCGTCCATGGGTATGGGTCAAAGCCTGGTGCCCGGCCCCATTCCAAAATGTGACCCAAACCGAACGATCTCATGAGAGGGTCATATCCCCAAGTGTGTAGATCCCATCGATCGGCATTTTGACCCATAGCCACAGGCAGCTCCACAAAAACTTTGGCTTTGACCCGTCTGCAGTTGCTTGCCGGTGCAAAGCTGTGAGCCAAGGACCACGGTGCACCCTCGGGAGGGCCATTGGGAAGACATGTCAGATTGCTTGATGCTTTCCGCCTTTAACGGATCCGTTCTCTCTGGAAAGTTCCTTGGTTTTCGCATCGTTGGTGGTGTAAATGTTAGGCAAGTTTTGGGCAAGTTTTCATGGACAAGTTCAATAGTGGCTTTCCGTCGTTTTTGGACGCGCTGAAGATGAAGGCAAAGGGATGGAGATTGTAAAAACTCTTGGGCTAGGTGGGTAACTTTCAGCGGACCGTTGATTGAAATAGGCCTGAGATTTTGAGAGCTTCAGAAATAGCACCAACCCCAAACACAAACAAGCCCACTTCATTTAATACGTGTCTGAATAAGGTGTCTGAAAGCCACCCATGCGAGATTCTTCTGCCCTGACTCGGTTGATACAACCAAGACTCAGACCTCATAAAAAGAAAGACCTTGCAAAATGTTCCTGTGTTGATTCACAAGTAGTTTTCCTTGTGGCATCAAGCAATCTGAATAATTCAAGAATAAACAGCCAGAAACCTTTGGCTTCTAGCAGTGAAATGCATCACCAGCATTTTCAATCACATTCACCTTCACAACCTTCACATTTTCTCCACATCGAGGCTCACTTTCTTCCGCTGACGGATCACAATCCCGGCTTTCCCCAGAAGGAGATGACGATACCAGGCCCATAAATCCACCACTGTGTTGGTGAAAATCGCCACGGGAGCTGACAGCATGGTGAAGGCTAGCCTGGTCTGATGGATTCACCAGGAAGAACAAAATCACTTTCACCACATCTGACCGTTGCGGCTGAATCAGTTCCGTAGCGGCTGAGTTATATCTGAAAAAAACCCTGGTTGTTTTAGCCTAATAAGTGGTGAGAGCCCCAGAAATTCCCAAAATCAACAAGCAAAACAAGAAAATCATCTAGATTTCCCATGCTTTTCTTCATTAAAATAACTAAATCAACTCCCGATATTTCACCAAGTCGATCTCACCAGTGTCACCAAGTCGCTGGTTCCAGGGTGCTTTGACAAACGAGTTCTCCTTGGCCACGAAAAAATGGGCCATGAGCTGCTCATAGAGAGGCATCATCAGCAGAAGACTCACCAGGACCACCAGCATCAACTTGTCCATCCAAAAAAGCAGCACCTGGCTGATTTCTGTCACTGCTTTTTGACTCACAAAGATTTGACTATGGATCAATACCTATTAATACCATTTTTAGGGGAATGAACATCCATTTACCAGCTATTTTGATGTTCACCAGGGGTACAAGGTTTTGACCCATCCCCATTTAGGAATCGTGTTGATTTTGTGGATGGTCACCAAATGTCACCAACACATGTTGAGAAAGGTGATGTTTGGCGGGTTTGGCTGGTTTATTTTTAACGAGAGAAGCAGCAAAAATATGCAAAAATGGCAAGAAAAATGATGAAACTCCAACCCATCCAACCCACCTTTTCGACCTCCGGCAACTCCGGCGCCAGCGCGGCAGCCAGTGAGAGGGAGGAGGCGAAGAGACCGATGCCGTTGATCAAGGCAAGGCGAACGAACCAGTACCTGGTGAGTTCAACTGGAGTTCAAATGGGTAGAGCCACCAAGATATTCCCCCGTGCCAACCTGGGGAGTCAACCAACAGTCACGCGGATTCTACGTCATTGCAGGGATTGAAATCAAGACCTGATGGGTGACCCAAATCACTTGAAATGCTGGAGACTCGGAGAAGCCGTTGATGCAACCCAGCTCACCCAGCCAGAAAAATACTTGAATGGTGGCAGTCCCAAACAGCTCGAACATCTACGTTTATTTTGGCGATCATCCGACCCCAGCTAAAACAAGACCAATATGGCAAGCCCACTGCAAACATTTGCGGATGATTTGTACCACCCATTTAACCCATTTATGGTAAAGTTGGGGATGGTTTATGGTTTTGGGTCCACGGCCACATTGCTAAACAACCAAGCAGTAGCCCATGTTGAACCCCAATGACTCCACCCCGGCCTGACGAGCCAAGAAATCGTCGAAATCGTGGTCTTGGGCGCTCGATGTCTCCACCGAAACTCTGCCACCTTCGATTGGTTTCAGGTCCCCAAAGTTGCTTTTGAATCTTGAAATTGCCCGTTCTCTTGGTTAAAGTGATGCAAAAAAACCCTCCACCTGCCTGAACAAAAACTCCGGAGGCACAACAAAAGGACAACAAAACAAAATCAAGATGTTAAAAACCGCAAGGAAAAAAAAAAAATTGGAAGATCCGGAAACAAGAACTCGGAAAGTCCAAACAAAAGGTCCAAGTTTCAACAAATCATCCTAAAACATCCAAAAAAATCCCACCATCATCCAAAAAATCAGCCATTTTTAGGGGTCCCCGATAGGTCCCTTCCCGCCTCGGCCACCTGCGCGGCCCAGCGCGCCCCCTGCCGCGCCGCTTCCCGCAGGGCGCCCCAGCAGCTGGCGTCCAAGGGCGGTGCCACGGCCACCACCACCGGCAGCACCGCCAGCTGGGCGGAACGGCCTGGTGGAGCCCCAGAAATGGCTGGGAAGAAATAGATCTCACGAAATTGGGAAGAAAGGTAGGGAAGTGGAATAAATAATTGGATTAGAGAACTAGCTTTGTGGCAAGGAAATGAGATATTGATATAGATTTTGACCTGCTTTCGAATTACTGGAAACCACAAGAAGAACTTCTGGCCTTCGCTGATGGTGGCCTGTGCCAACATCATACAATCCTCCCCCAAATAGTTGGGATGATGCAATCCCATCTTCACATACTGCATCAGTGGGGCGCTATAGCAGGTGACACACATCAAATTCAACGCGAAGATGCCGGGGTAGCTGAAACATCGCATGGACGTCAAGGCCCTGGTGGCTCCAATGCTCCTGTTTCGGTTCATCAGCCCGGCCAGCAGCGGCTGCCACACCACCGGGCCGCACCCGGAGCGCTGCTGAACGCTTCGGTCGAGTTCTGGGAAGTAGTTCAGAGGTAGCAGGACCTGAGAATCCACCTTCGTCAAGACATATCCTGAGAGACGGCTTCAGAAAATTAACCCCCAATTTATAGCCATCTCAATTGGAAATGATGATAAATCGAGGCACCGACATGGTTCGTGGGTCATATGGGTCATATTCAAAAGCATGTCACACCTGTGGCTATATTTCACCCACAAGACTCTCACAAGAAAACTGTCTCTAGTTGGGCACACCTACCCACATCCTAGGATAAACCCCACCAAGACCAAGTAGCCAATACACATTCCCGCTGGAAGCTACCAAAAAAAATCAACCGCAACTGAAAATTCAAATCCAAGCACATCAAAAAAACAAAACCGCAACTGAAATTTCATCCATATCCACCCAACAATGAAGATCCAACCTCCTCATTTCATCCACATTTCATCCAAGCATCTTTCCAGTTCGCTGGAACTCATCAACTTCACCTCCCTTCCCAGGGAGAACGCCAAGCTGCTACAGAGTCCCCGCACCTCCTCGTCCTTCACAGGGTGGATATGGTACGACACCGACGCCACGTTGGGCAGCTGCTGCTTGTAGAGCTCGAAACGATCCAGGGGACGATCGGTGGCCTACGGGGGGGATGAAAACCACAGCATCCGACCATCCGACCATTGGTCAATGGATTGGTTTAAGGGAAAATCTACAGGAAACCATGGTTTTTACCAAATATAGGGGTTTCCTGTAAATTTTCCCATCATCCAATTCTATGAATTGGGGATGTCAACAGTTAGTCCATTAATATGTCCCCATTCATATTTGCCCAGGTACCAAGGTACCAATATGAATGGGAAATCCATTATTAAATGTTTCTGGTAAACAAACAGTTTGCGAACTGGAAAATGGCGATTTAGACATCGTGGATTTACCCATTCAAAATGGTGGTTTGAAATTTCACAAGTCAAATATCAAGATGTATGAGATATGGATGGATACGCTTGGTAATTCAGTCATGGAAACCCCGCCAAACTTTGCAGCATCCAACATATTTCTGTACGCCAAACACCTGAGATTGCCAGCTTTCCGGTGCTATAAACCCATGGTATCAAGCGATACTGGAGGCTACAACTCCAGCCTCCTCCATTGCAAAGACCACACGCATTCTTGGAGCACTGGAAGATGCATTCAACTGCTGCAGAGTGGTCAAAATCATGAAATCCTGGCCATCGTCATCGCCATCATCCAGGGAGGCATTCACCACTGTTTGGGGAAAAGTAACAAATGTGTCAAAGTTATTAAAACCGCCAGGCGTCAGGTTCTGCACAGATTGCCACACACACCAAATGCCTCACCTGGCACTCAAAGGGGTTGCCCAACGTCCCTGGCTGCGCTGCGCGGAACCGGCTGTGCGCTTTCCGGAGACCCCAAACGAAGCGCACGGCCTCGAGGAAAAAGAAGGAGCCCAGCAGGGCGTAGAGCAACACCAAACCGCCAAGGCACCACGTGAACCAACTTCCAGCCACAAGTAGCAGCAGTGGCGAACCCACCATCAAAACATGTCCCAACAGGAAGCAGAAACTCAGCAGTGGCGCTACGCGATTCTGCGCCGGCCAACGTTCCGCGGCCAGCTGGCCATGCAACGGGCCATCTTTGGAGGGATCGGGCCAGGCCTCTGGGCTTCTCTCAACGTTCGAGATACGGGGGCGCTCAGCTGCGATGGCATTTCGCATGAAGGTCCGGATTTTCAGCTCACAGAACTCGATCTGGTTGAAGTGAGGGGCATGAAGGCCACCCGGCACCGGCACAAACTCCTGGTGCTTGAGCCATCCACATGAAACATCATGTTGTAATCTTTAAGGATCATCCCATTGAAATAAGAAATGGAAACCAACAACCAGTCCCAACCAGTCCCAACCAGTCCTTGTATCTGCTCTTGGAAAGTCTCATCAGCAATTCAGTACCACTCACAGGGCTGATAGCATCCTCCGGATCATGTAAGACCAGAAAAGGTAGCTCCAGTTCAGACCTGGCTATGGCCGTTTCTCTAACTTGTGAAACACCCCAAACCATGGTGAACTCCCCCTTTCAAATGAGGAATCTTGGCGACTTTTCAGCTTGTGAATCCCCGAATAGAGAAAAAACCATGAAAAAACACACCAACTTGTGGACGAATTTCCCGCCAAGAGACATTTTGCCGGGCAGGGACTGAATCATTCCAACCAGCGCCGCTGCCGTCGCGGCGCTCATCTGAAGATGGTGGAAGCCCAAGGCTCCTGCCGTGTGCCCTCGACGATCTGCGTTGAAGTCCTGGATGTCCAGCTCGTCGGAAAAAACCTCGATGGATGGCTTTTTAAGGGAAATGTTGGTGATATCTATAGGGATTTGAAGATTTGTTTGGCAATAGATATGGATGATTTTTGGGGATTGTTTCCAAATTATTTGAGGATTATTCGCTATCATTATCCTCAATGGATGGATTTTGAAGATAAGCGCTGTAGGTTTTCCGTTGAGCCAATTTCGGTGACTGGTACACTGGTGGTTTTCTACTGCTCAACAAGAGGGTACCAAAACAGCCACAGATAAGGGCCGTCTTTAGTAGCAGACCATCTAAATGTCCGGCCATATCTTCAGAAGCAAAATCCTTGATTGTTCTGGTTGAACCGGAATAAGTGATACTATCTTCACATAACCAGCTCCATCAAGGATCAGTTACAACCTGAGAAGGGGTGGAACGAAAGCCAGCGATTGCTTTTTGACTCGCGCGGGGGCGCGTGAAACTCCACCTCATCCACATGGCATGGCTCAAACATGAAGCGCCCCAACATCAACAATTGCTATCGGGTCATAATTTTCCAATCATTAAATGGACCTTTTTAGGGTAAACTCCACGATTTTGTAACTTCTATATCCAAATATGTTTCCTACAATGTACTGCGGCATTGTGAAAAGTTCTATCTCAAGTTCCGTAAATCCGCCTTTGGTTGCTCATTTATCTTAAAACAGCGCAAGTTTGCTCCCACCTATTGTAGATAAATAATACCCGTTTTTTGTGTGAACAGTGGTCATGTGACCTCTCAAAGTCTAAATTGTTTTCTCCCCAGAATCGTGGTCCATGCTTCTCCGCGAAGTTCCGCAACATTTTGGCCGTACGGTGAGAAATCAAAACATAGCTCTACTCGCAAAATGGGCAGTGCAAACCCAAGACAATATTATAACATACGTAAGAAAGGGTATAAGAACGAATGAAAATCGAGGAAAACAATGCAAAACCCACGGGAAATATAGAACAGTGGCGAACATGCAGTCCAAATCAAAAGTATATATATTTAGGCCATTTACAGACCTGGGTACCCCCCCCACCCCCCAAGGGTCTGGAAAATAGGTATTTTACAGGAAATGTCGCGGAATAGCATCATCCCTGACATCGATAGAGATAATTGTTTGGCATCCCGGAAAATCTTCTCAGCTATCCCACTCGCCAAACATCCCTTTTAAAAGGCACACATACTATCACGGACGTACAGATGCATATCATTCCCGTCATTGCCATTAGAAGATTCAAATTCTTTCTCGATGTTTTAGCACAAGATTCACTTTTAGTTCCGTTTCAGCCTTCTCAGTACGGCCTCTTACAATGATATTAAAGCATTTGTCTCCTAACCTAGGTGGCTCCTGGGCGCAATCTTCATTCCAATGCCTTGTGACAATAACCAGAGGCCTGGAGCCTATGCATCACTTGACAGTCGACTCAGTTCTAAACCGGAAAGACTATTCCTTCCGTTTACCAGTAGATCGTTTTTGTAGTTCTTATCACAAAACTACCAGAATCAGGGAGGCACCAAAAAACGTCAAACAGCTTTAAGCATTATAAATACTCTAATCTGCAGATTGTATTTATTTTTCTTACTCTGTGAACGAAATCACACTTTTCTAACTTCACACAGATTACCATGAAACCAATTTTCCCATGCAACTCCTAAAATCTTACAACTCATACATCTTTTTCCTATACCATCCGCATCTTGCTCCAAGGTTTCATGGCAATGTCTTGTACGCGAGTCAGCCACTATTTCCTATCACCAAACTACATTGCTCATCATCTAACATTATCTACAGAAACCAAATCGGATTTCCTGCTCAACGTTTCCGCTCGTTAACATTGTCTTGGTTTTCACTATATTTTAAAGCATTTTTAGTTATAACATTTTCCTAGGTTTTCACTGTATTTTTCTAACATGTTACATGCCTCCTAGCATGTTCACGCGTGTCCTCCATGTTGTACTGTTTTCTACATCGTTTCCTCTAGTTGTTACAAGCATTTCCTAGCTTGTACACCGTTTTCCTAATATTGTCACAACTTTTCTTCCAGTTTCCACTGTTTTTTCTACCGTTTCCTGTGGTTACTTTCTTCTCTTTTGTAGGTTTTCACTGTGTTTTGTCCAGCTTTTTTTATTACATGCTTCCTACCATTTTCACCGCTTTCCTCTATGGTTTTTTGTACCATTTCCTCTCGTTCCCTGCATTTCATGCATTTTCAATATATATTTCCAAGAGTTTTACCCGTCTCCTTGATTTTTCCGATCGTTTTTGCACCATTTCCTCTGGTTGTTATCGCATTTTCCTGCACTTTCACTGTCTTTTTCCAACATGTTTACTGCATCGTCATAGTTTGTTCCTAGCAGTCACTCCGGTTTCCTCCATGTTCCAACAGATTTTGCATGGTTTGTTCCTAGCATTTTCCTCTGATCGTTATCATGTTTTCCTCAAGTTTCATTGTATTTTCCAATGCATCCTCTTTGTGGGTTTTCAATATGTTTTTGTCCAGCATTTTTTACTACATGTTTCCTATCATTTTCAACTCTTTCCTCCATAGGTTTTTGCACCATTTCCTCTGGTTTCCTGCATTTTCATACCTTTTCAATATTAATATTAATCCAAGAGTTTTACCTGTCTCCTTCATTTTCCGATCCTTTTTGCACCATTTCCTCTCGTTGTTATCACATTTTCCTGCACTTTCACTGTATTTTTCCAGCATGTTTACTGCATCGTCATGGTTTGCGCCTAGCATTCGCTCCGGTTTCCTCCATTTTCCAAGGGATTTTCCATCGTTTGTTCCTCGCATTCGCTCCGTTTTCGTCCGTTTTCCAGGGGATTTTGTACGATTTCCTCTGATCGTTATCATGGTCTCCTGCAGTTTCATTGTATTTCCAATACATCCTCATGGTCTTTCCGGCCACCAAAAAGGCGGACCTAGGGGGAATCGATACCCCACCGTCAGCAAATTGCCTAGTGGTACTTAATCCAGCAAAATGCTCCGTTTTCTGGCGCTCAACACAGGGGCACGGCGAGATTTCGTTCCCTTTCGGCAACCACCCCCCCCCACACCCCCTATTCTCACTTCGTTCGCAAACAGCAACTAGCCAGCTAGCTGGCTTTCGTAATAATTGAAATCCAACTTTCCGTTTCTGTAATTTCTGACACATCCCGGTTGGTTCCCTCAAATAGCTTTGGCACTGGCCCAAACCGCGAAAATATCACCACATCAACCACAGACCATCAACCCCAAACCATTCATCATCATTCACATGCCGACAGATCAAACCTGTAATATCAACTTGTGGGACGATGAACATCCTTAATTTTAAACTTTGCTGTGATTTTGATGTGAAGACCAAGGGATCCCCAAACAGATATTGGCACATTGGCACATATCTATTCATTTCCCCATTTTATATTCATTATAACCCTATAACCCATCACACATATACATATAATTGATAATATATATATATATATGAATGTAACATAATCCCATGAAAATTCTTCTCATCCCCCTATCCCCACCTGCTTTCCCTCGATCTTCGGTAAAGCCATGGGCCCCGCGGCCTGCCCCGGCAGCTTCTGCACGTCTCCGCTATGGCCACAGCTCAGCAGCGTCGGGGAACGCCGCGTGGGCTTCGACAACAGGGGGGCGGCCAACAGCAGGCCTCGGGTAGTGGATTTTTATCACCATTTTATGGAGATTTATGGAGATAATAAGGTAAATCCCCATAAATCTGTATTTTACAAGGTCAGCCAACAATGTGGTATATTACCAATGGGGTGACCTACAAGCCGCTAAGCACTTGGCACTGTTTTGAACCAACGCTACAGAGTAGTACGATGATATGTACGATACATGGTTTTACTGCAGGAGTTTTTACACCCCCCTCGGGCGAGCAGGGACGACTGCGGAGAACGAATAACCCAGAAGAGCATACCCTCGCGGGTAGCCAAATCTGTTTATTTGGTTTTGAACATTTTGTGCAGTCTTTCAAAGGTCCCTCTAAAAAGCTCAAGCCCGTAAAACCCAGCGCAGCTATGCAAGGAAGGCACATTACCATGCCACATCTTGCGCTATGCTACAAAAGAAAATCATCGTCTACCTGCGGTTCCAATAGATCCAACGGCCGCCGGCCTCGTCACGGTAATACCAAGCCCCACGCCAGAAACTCCATTCTCGACGTGCACCATAGTGATCACGATTCCAACTCCAAGAGGCATCCGGGCGACCGGAGCTTGCAGCCTTCGATGTGACTGTGCTTGCTGCTTTTGCAGTGGGCGGCGTCTCAGGCTCCAAGAATGGTCGTGCTCCTGCTTTGGATGTCGGTGGTTCGGGTGCAAGGAATGGTGCATTGTTGGGATCAACTGAGGCATCAGCGTGCGAGGCGTCTGCGCGAGCAGAGCTTGAGGCGGCTGTGTCATCATTTGCAGTGGCGGATGCATCAGCTTCGGCTTTGCGCTTTCGCTCAATGGTGGGCGCGACCGTGGGGTCGGCCTTTTGACCTCCAGGGCCTCCAGCCTTTGCAGCGGCGCTCTGCTTCTCTTTGCGTTCAAGGTTGCCCCGAACCAATGGAAGGTTTTCCTCATACAGCTTTTCGAGGAATTCAAGAGTGCCATCAAAAGGAACTTGGACGGTGCCCTTCCAGGTCAGCAGGCCACGGAATGCGCCACGACGGCCGATGTAGCTGACATATTCATCCTCTGTAAAAATGTGGCGGCCGAACATGAAACCCCAGGTTTTCTTCCATGTTTTTCGGAACTCAACTGGGAACCCTTCCACACCTCGAGGTTGGGACATGAAAATCAACTTTGATAAGCAGTTTTCATTTTGGGCATTGGCGGCGACGCCAGCCGAGATCTGAGCTTTGGTCCTGGGTGGATCGGGGAGGTTAGCGTATGCGAACATATCATCAAAGATACATTCCTGCAGGCCCTTCCCCTCCCCGTGGATGCGGTCGCAAAATGTGACGTCGCTGGCGAATCGATCTTCCACGTCCTCGTAGCCCAGCGCTTTTGCACGTCTATGCCTATCGCGGCAGTCTTTGAGGACTGCTGATTCCACGGATGTGATCCCCCTGGGGCCCAGTTCCCGGCGAAGAAGATCGGCTTGCTCATTTGTCAAAGCCGTCAACAAGCTGCCGCTCATTTTCCCAAACATTCCGAACCCGGCGAGACTCTGCATTCGCCGTTCAAGGATGCGGGTCCTCCTGTTGGGTTTGTCGGCCTCTTTTGTTTCGCCACTTTCGTCCACTGGGAGTGGCTCATATCCACATGTGGTGCATGTCACTTGGCCACTGACGTACTCGACCTGGCAGAGGGGGCAGGAGCCCATGAAAGGTTCGCAGTACTTTGGTGCAATGTAAACACGGCGCGCCCTGGCGGGCGGCTGGTCAACTTGCATTGGGGCAGTGGCTGCATCATCAGTGGACTTGGCATCGGGTCGCCCCGTGCTGGTGTCATCCATTGGGTCGTCTTTTGCATCATCTCGGGCAGTCAGGGTGACCGCTCTGGATTTCGGTGCTGAGGCTGATTCCGCGCCTGTCCATGTGCTGGGCTCGAGATTGCTCTCGGCGCGGGACCAAAGCACCTGTCCATCTTCTGAGATGCTGACCAGAAACTGCGGTGGGATGCGTTCTGAACACAAAATACCATCCATTTCTGTGCGACTAAAGATGACACCAGCTTCAACTGCTTGCCGCATTGCGATTTTGACTTCGACTGGACATTTTGCTCTTAATCCAGATCGATATCCCTGTGTGCCGATACAGTGTTCTGCCATGTAGATATGAGCACGGCCACTGTTGACTGTGTCACCGCCGCCTGGGATCAGGCCGTTCTGTGCGATGCTCTTCCAGCTGCTTCTCATCGTGCGATGAAAAACAACTTCAGGGACCTCAGTCATGGCACACAAGGGCACGCCGGTGAAGGCGGCTTTTCGCTCGGGGGAAACTTGGTTTGAGCAATACACCATGGTTGAGTTGGCATAGAGGCCCCCGGCGGAACTCAAGGCAGCTTGGGAATGACCCTGAATTGCACGGATTTTCACAGGATAATACGGCATGCCTAGGCCATTGTCGACAGGGAAATGGGAGATCTTTGCACACAAGAATTGGAACCTACTCTTGCCATGCTTGTCGATCTTCATTGCGGTGCCAAACAGGTTTGCTACGGTGATGAAAACATCTGGGGGCACTTCCTTGCGGAAGGCTTTGGCAAAATCCTCCAAGTCGATCCAAAGGTCTTTGTCCATTGGCACCTTGGCACAGGATCCATGCCCCCTGCAAACTTTGTTGACACGGGTTGCAAAATCGGAGAATTTCTTGTCGATGCGAGTCTGGCCAGCAATGGTCTCAACGTCGGATGCCGATAGCAGTTCCAGTTCATAGGCCGTACCTTCAAAGAGGATCCCGGGCACATCTTCCCCGTCTGCATTGGTCACCATTGTATATTGGTATTCAGGCAAATGCTCTTCCATCCAATATGCTTTCACGTGGCCGGATGCATGTTCCTCTAAGCGCGCAGTTGCCTGCGGCTGGTACTGGCTGGATGTGGCTCTTTTGTCATCTGCGGGCTCATCCAATGGGACTGGTGCTGCTTTCGGTCGCGACTTCAACATGACCTCAGCCGTTTGGACCAGGATTGTTGCTCTGCTGGATTCAGCGGGCTCGCCGTCGCCGGCGGCCTTTGGAGGGTCATCTTTGGGAGGCTCAGCAAAAGTTCCAGAAGGCATCGTCTTGACGTCGATGTAGTCCTCGGTGTCTGGTTGTTGAGCTTCAACGTCCTCCTTGGTGAATGACCTGCCCGTCGGCGTGATGTGTCGTCGGGACTCTCCACAAAGCAACTTGGTGATGTTTGCACATGTCTCCTGATAGGATCTTGGCAGCTCGTCGAGGACGGCGCTCATGTTCCTCCGCAAATCATCCCATGTTTCCTGGCCACACTGAGCAAGCTCCAAACCAATTCGGCCAACCCGCCATCCGCAGTCAATAGCGAACAATGTCGCTGTCCAATAAGCGGCGAGACGCGTGCGATTTTCTTCAGAGTTGGGGAAATGCCACTGGTCTCTGAATTCCATCGCATCGGCGTACCCCTTCGCACGCAGCCACGGATACTTCGGATTGGCAAGCCCTTGCAGGCTGCTGGTTAGAGCTTTAAATCTTGGCTCCAATGCATCAAAGAACTGATCAAAGATAGGATGGATGCCATAGTCAGCGGACCAAGGCGCGGTCGTGAGACCGGCCGATTGCAAATCCAACTCCCGGGCCTTGTTGACAAACCAAGTCAAATGGCGCTCACAATCATCCAGGATCGTGGGCCAGTGCCCGTTGGGGCCGTCGTACGGCCAATTTGGATTTTGGGCAATCCCATCCTCACCTACCAATTCATTTCCGAACCAGGACAAATGCAGGTTGATGCGGGCATCAGGATAGCGCTCGCGGGCGTCCGCGGCCAATTCAATCCCACGTTTGACCAACTTCTGCAGAGTTTTGCCCCAAAGCATCTCATGGATAAACTCAGTCACATACTTAGGTTTACGCTGCCGGTAATGCTCGGACAGGTCAAACTTCTTAAGTGTTTTCCTACGCCCTGTGATCAATGCACATGACGAGTCAGAGACTAAGATCCAGATTGCTTCATTGACAGGCATCTCTGGCAACATGATCTTTTCGATGTGGGACTCCTTTGGCAAAAAGCAGAAGCTAAGGTATTCTGCAAGCGGATCCTCTCGACCGTAGAACCTCAGGGCCGAGGCCGGCGTCCATTCGGTCATCAATCCATCCACGAGGTCCTGAGCAACCTGATTCTCACCTTCATTGCGCATGGCCAATGCATACAAAATGCGATTGTGAAGGAGCAACCATGCTTCTTTGTTAGCCTCACGTGTGGCTTCGAGCGCAGCCTCGCGGCTGGCCGGGTGTGCTGTGGCATATCGCGAGTCAGCCATTTTAGCAGGACAGGCACGAATGACAGCGGGTGAAATCCTTTTGGATGTTTGGCCCACCACAGCTACCCGGAAACACTCATGGAGCATGTCAGTCAACTTGAAGGTATAGTTCTCAGCAAGTTTAAGAGCTTTGCCCCTACTTTGATCATGCTCATGTTTGCCATCACATTTGAATGAGTCTAACACTTCGAGTTCTTTGAAGTTTCCTGCAATAGTCCAACTTTTCTTCATTGGTTGACCGTTGTTTCCAAGAACACCCAACATACAACCATCAAAGTGATGAGTAGTCATGGATCGTTCTATGAGGAATTTTCTAACCATCGGCCATCTCCAATATTTGCAATTCTTGGACAGTTCAAATGCTATCAAGGTTCGTTCATCATAAACTTCGTCCACAAGTTTGACAAAAGATTTGAACAACTTGGTAAACTGTTTTTGTTGCTCTTTGATTCTTTCCTGACCCTCAACAGTAAGGCCATTTACGTTCCCCCATGGGCTACCTCCAACACAAGGCAATGATGCATAAAGTATCAAAGTGCCGTCATTGAAATCATTTCTGAAATCTTGGACTTGGGAGGCTAGCCGTTGCCGACAGCTGGTAGTGGTACCATCTTCTTTTTCGGTAACCCTAATGCAGTGGCAATCTTCATTGGACTTTCTTGGGGTACTAAGCTTCGAATCATCAGAGCAGCAAAATTCGATCAACATTCTGGGCTTAAAA